GTGCAGCCCCTCCCTGCCAGGGTTGGTGTCGGGATGGGCTCAGCACACCCCAGTGTGAAAGCCACTGCTGCCCAGGAAGAGCTCGGGCCCAGCCTGTGCGCACCGGCTCTGTCATCCCATACACTCTGATACCTACTGTCTGTGTTACTTGGGCAAATGACTCAACCTCTCTGAGCCCCCTTTGCAAAATGAGGCCAATTAACAGTGCCTGCTTGTGAAGTACTTCTGCGGGCCTGGCCCAGAGGAGCACTGAGGAGGACAGGCTGACCTCTGTCCCCCCGCAGGGTCTCCTCTGGGGTCTATGAGCCAGTCGTCATTGAAAGCCATTGAGGAGTGGGTGTCCAGGCTGGAGAAGGGCCCTGCCTTTGTGGGCGTCCAGACCCGCGTCATTCCACGAGGGACCTTCCCCTTCGGATCACCGTCCACGCCACATCTCATCTGTGCCTCCTCCGTGCACTCCAGCCGCAGTCCTGCCCCAAAGCCTCATTCCACTGTCCTCCCATCCATGCTGGGACCCTCCTGGCCTGCTGGAGTCTGGGCACCACTGTGAACATTCTTCTCTGAACCACTAGAGGGCAGGACACATGGGCCCATGAAATAGGTGGGCAAGACCATGATGGCCAGAATGCCCTGCTGGTGGCTGACCTGGTCCCTTGATGAGGACATGCAGTGGATCCTACACACAGGGAGCTGCTCAGGGCTGAGGGGCCCCTTGCCCTGTCCCCCGCTCCCTCTAGGAGCGCCAGCTCAAACCATGCCCTGGCAGGGCTCTGTTCCATCACCCCCTTTGGGGATCATTTCACCCCCCGAATCCTGCCACCATGGCCCTGTGACTGCTTAGTGCTTCAGCTATCCCTCCCCTGTGCCCTGGGGGACCTGCTGGCAGCCTCCTCCTGGGAGCCAAGACCTCAGACCCTACCCATACTCCAGACTCAGACTCCCTCCCCCAGAGAATGTTCTCCTGCTGCCTGGGCAGCCTGCACTTTGCACACGCTTGTGTCTAACACAGCCCCACCGGCCCTCGCTTGCCCTTCCCCTGAACCCTTCCCCAGGCTTCCTGGGCGCTGCCTGCTGTGCAGTCTGTGGGCCCAGCTCTAGCAGCCCGGCTGGCACGGGGCCCTGCCTCTCCTCCCTCCAGCTAGCTGCAGCTCAGGCCCGAGCCCCGAGGCCTGTGCTGGGAAATGTCTGAGCTTAGATGGTTGTTCCCCTCTGCCCAGGGCTGGGACCTGAGCAGCTGGTTTCCTGTAGGAAGCCAGAAAGGTGCCTCCAAAGCCCTTGGAGGTCAGGGACCTGGCTGGGCTGAGCAAGTGCCACCCCCTTCCTCTCCCCTCAGGGTCAGCTGGCCCAGGCTGGGGCCACTGCTGGTGGGCTGTGACTGGACCAGCTGGAGCTGGCTTCCTGGCCAGAAAAGCCTCAAACCTCCTCTGAAAGCATCCCCCTCTCTGGGCAAGGGCTGGACAGGGTCCTTAAAGGAGGGTTTCCAGCAGGGAGCAGCCTGGCCCTGCCCCTGCCCCCTCACTGAAGCCTCTGCTCTGAGCACTTTCCGCCTGCCCCCTGGCCCCCCCAATCCTCATTACTTGCTTGAAGGTAGGTGCTGGCTGTCAGCCAGTCTCTGGACAGTCTTCCCTGCCACTCTTAATTTCGCTCATTTTTGTATAAACCCAGCAGGCTGGTGTTTATTTAATCTATACATTTTTCTCTTTTTTCTTTTCTTTTTTTTTTTTTTTTTAGGGTTCACAGTTTGACATTTTTTCCTCCCCCAGGTGAGGGGAGGTGGTTCTGTTCTCTGTCCCACCCACTGACTAGGTCGCCAGCAGGGCTGGGGATCTGGATGGGGGGCCAGGAGACTGGTTCTCTCTCTGGTCGGGGTGGGGGTGAGCGTGTCCTCCCCAGGCTGGGAGGGCCTCTGCCCCAGCTGGCAAGAGTTGGAGTCTTGGTCTTAGAACCTTCCAGCATTGGGACCAGAGTGTTTCTAGGATTTGGTTGTTGTTTTTAATCACCTAACTCTTTTAGAAAAAGAATGTTAGCAGGTGCCTGCCGAGGCAGGGTAGCGCATTTGCTCCGACTGGAGAAGGCTCTGGTCAGCTCTGTGGGTCCCTTCCTGTCTGTAGACACCTGGCACTTTAAAAGGGGGCTGGCTGCACTGTCTCCAGATGAAGTGACTCCCAGAAGGTGGGGGGTACCACCCTTCCCTCCTGTGTCTGCTGGGCCTCAGCCCAGGGGGAAGGTGCATTCAAGGTGTATTTGGTGTCTGGTTCAAGATTCTGGGGCATTAGGCATAAAACAGCTGGCTTTGGCGCTGTTGGGGAGAGCCCCCAAAAGTAGGAACCCTAGCCCCACTGTAGATGAGGTCTGAACTTGACAGTCACCCCAGGAGACAGCCTCCCACATCCTCCCATGCCAGGCCCTGGGCCAGGGTCATTGGACTGAGAATTTGGCTGTAACCAAATTAATGCTGGCCGGAGCTGGGGGCCCAGAGCCCTGGCCTCATCCCCCTGTGGGAGCCACCGGTTCACTCAAGCTCAGTGAATCCCCGCTAGGCGCCCACAGCTCCTGGACTTAAAAATTATATAGAGAGAGATAGAGAGGAATATATTAGAGATATTTTTGGAAAGGATTTGGTCTATGCAATGTCAGTTTGGAATCTCGGAAGACAGTTTAACGTTTTTACTAGGAGATTTAAAGAAAATAAAGGTCTACAATATTTTTAGGTTATTTTTTTTTCTGGTCACCCACAAACTGACCACATGGCATGATCTGCCAGGACGGAGAATGTCCACGTTCTCCTCTCTCTAGGGAGGTGAGCAGGGAGATGGCGGGGTGGGGACGGGGAGGTCTTTATTTTTTTTTAATTCCCCTCTTTCTAACAGAATGTTGCCACCACCACACCGTGACTCAGTGGGCTGTGTTTGCACCTCTGTCCCGGCTTCTGTAGAGAATAACATTGTAAAGGGGAATCAGCCTAGTGTCAGTGTCTCGATTTGGGGGGAAAATAAATGTTGCAGTTCTTGTTCGTTAATGACACGGGGGTCCTCATTTGTTTTGCCGACTTGACTTTGGGGTCAGGGACAACACCAGATGGATGGAAGGTGATGCACCGGGGGTGGGGAAGAGGTAGGTGGCCAGGGCTCTCCAAGTCCTGGCTGAAGTCACAATTCCCACCTTTACTACACCAGAGTCCTGGGGAGGAAACCGAGGCCCAACAGTGTGGTTTCTTGCCAATATCAGACCTAGTAAGTGGCAGCTCTGACCTCAGAGCCCAGGTTCTAACCATTCTGCAGGCCTTCCCAGCGGCCAGATGCCCCTTGCACGTGTGCCTGAAGACACAGAGCTCTGTGCCTCCATGTTCTCAGCAGCCAATGAAGTTGTAGATCAAATGAGAACCTGCGTGAACAGCTTGACCTAGGGAGGTGCTGAGCTTGTTCCCAGTCTCTAAATCTCCAGGCCAGGGCCTCTCACTCCCTGCCCCTGTCTAAAAGTTATAGAGGCATCTGCACCAAGCTCTGAGAAACGCATGTCACCCTGGACCCTTAATGAGCTCAGGAGTGGCAGGAAACCTCTGTGGCTTTGGACAGGCAGAAGCAACCAGACTACCAGGCCTTGCCCCGGCCACGGTGCTGCCTTGTCCCCATCCCTTTCAGGGCTAGTGCCCAGGCACAGCCCCTGTGAGCCCTGGGGGCTGATTCTCCATCCTGTTTTCCAGCACACACCGGGAGACAGAAAAGTTGGCTCTCAATGGAGCCCAAAGTGTGTCCTGAGACAGGGAAGGAATTGGGCTACAGAGCAGAAAGGGTTGCTCCTTTGAAACACAGTAATGCTAACTGAAAAGTCAGCACACAAAATGGTAGGAGAGAAAAAAGGATGCTCCTATGAGCTTTGGGAGGGCAGTCCCCATCATCAGAGATGGCTCAGACAACCCAAGGCGGTGGACGCTGCCAGAAGGAGCTTTCCAGGTTCAGGCCTCATCTCCGCGGGCCATCCCCCCCCCACCACCACATGCTGTACACCGACTGTAACATTCCAAGATCCAAAAAGCCACCAAATCTTAAAGCCGGTTGGTTGATTCAAAGCTCCTACTTTGTGCAAAGCTCCATTCTCGGCACTGGGGACACATACCCCTGACTACCTGCAGGGAGCTCACAGTCCCTTGGGCCAAATCAAGTCAATCGGCTAATTCAAACACGGGAACAAGTGTCATCAGGGAGACACTTGGGGCTGTGGAGCACAGAGGAGGGAACAAACCGCTTTCCAGCTGCGAAGGTGACTTCCCTGGGTTGTGTGGCATCCCAGTGAAACCGGAGTAGTGAGGCAACAGCCTCCCTTGTTCTCAGAAGAAAGGGCCTCCAAGCCTGGGGAGGGGCCCGCGGACGCACCCAGGCCGGGGACAGTCTGGGTTGCCGCTGCCTGGGCTGCCGCGACACCCAAGACCGCAGAGGAAGACGGGGCGGGGGGCGGGCAGTGAAGAGAGTACAAGCGATGGTAAGGGGATAAGGGGACGCCTCCCCTGATAGCCCACAGAACCCCTCCCCATCCCTGAGGACTCGGACTAGCCCCTCCTCCTCCTCCGACCCGGGCGGGGAACGTTCTCTGCATCCTCCGCTCAACAGACAAGTTAGGGCCTCGAGCCGAGGACTAGGGCTGTAGGTGCCGGTGTTGGCTTCACCACAGCCTTGAACTGTGATCTCCCGAAGTCCTCGCCTCTCTCTGAGCCTCATTATCCCCATCTGAAAAGTAAGACTTCTGGGCCCCCACTCCACCCGGCTCTGGCCTTGGGACTTGGGGATAATTAGAAATGGGCTTTTCTTCCGGGGAGAGATCGACTGAGGCCATGAGTACCACGCAGTCTGGATTCTCAACTCTGACCCATTACGTACGAAGATTCGGGAACAACTTGTCCCACAGTCCTCTCAAGAAACTACATTTCCCGACATGCAAAGCGGGGGAGGCGGTGCCTGGCCGTCATAGACCTCGTAGGCCTAGGCCCACGTAAGGACTACGACTGCCGGCGTGCCACGAGGCAGAAGGCCGGAAGGGCCTGGATCCGGAACCGGATGTGGCTAGGTGCTCCGGGGCGGAGCGCGGGGGAAATGGTGAGTGTTGGGTGTGTTTCTTGGGTCGGGGGCCCCGGGTCTGTTTAGGAGCCAGGGTTTGGGCACTGGGACCCGGGATTGGCCCCCCGTCGGCCCATGGTACGGATGAAAACTCCGGACCCGGAGCTCCGCCAGCATAATCAAGCTGCGATGCACCCCGTCCCCCATTAGTACACCTGAACGGATAATCACTTAGTCAACTAAGCCCTGCCTTTTCTCCAGGCCACTGGGACAGACCAGGTGGTGGGACTCAGCCTCGTCGCCCTTAGCCTGGTCATCTTCACCTACTACACCACCTGGGTGATTCTCTTGGTATGTGTACTTACCCCGCCCTCTCTCATCTCCATTCATGGGTCTGGCAGCCAACCCCTAACATTATTTAAATAGCTATGTGACTGGAACTGTGAGAGTTGCTTTAACGAAGTATCACTGGAAATCTCCAGAACAGCACTATGAGAAAGATGCTTGTGCTGTCCCTATTGTATAGATGAGGAAGCTGAGGCTCGGGGAGAAAGGTCGGCCCGTGGTCCAACCCTTACCTGCTACACTGTAAAGCCCTCTTCCTGATTTGCCCTGCCCCTGAAGGAAGATCTAGTCCGTCTGGTTATCCTACTGGCTCCTGGGCACAATGGGTGCCAGTGGATTTTGTGAGGACCTTTAGGATTTGGGATGTGGGGTGGTTGTTGGTTACTGCTAAAGAAATGCAGTGTTCGAAAGGCAAAGTCTTGCAGAACTTGGTAATTTTTGGAGAAAAGGGTGAGGAAAGAAGAGGTTGGAGCCCAGGCTGGGCATCACTCCAGGCTTCCTTATGTACCCTTTTCCGCTGTTAGGCTGTGAGGGCCTTGCGACAGGTCCTTAATATTCTGTACCCTGCCAGGTCCCCAGCACTACCAACTTAGGGTAAATGCCCTGTAAGCAACTACTTAAGTGAAGGAAGGAAACAAAGCAAGGCACACAAAATGCCATGATCTTAAAGAAAAGTAAATGCTGTCCCAGTGGTTTGAGTGGGGGCAACCCCCGAGATGGAGGAGGTGGAAGGTGGGGCTTGGGGGTGCTGAGCCAGGCCCGGAGTGCTCACCAGAGCTCTGCCCTGGGTGCCAGCCCTTCATCGACAGCCAGCATGTTATCCACAAGTACTTCCTGCCCCGAGCCTACGCTGTGGCCATCCCCCTGGCTGCTGGCCTCCTGCTGCTCCTGTGTGTGGGTGAGTCACCACGCCCCTGGGCTGGGTGTCGGGGCGGGGGCGATGACCCTCTCTTACCCCTGAACGTGTGGCTGCATCTGGGCACTTGCTGGACTTCTGCTTGAGGCTCCTTGCCCTGAACTCACCTGGGGAGTTTCCTGCTGACCCTTCAGGGCTACTATCAGTCTTCCAGATGCTTGGGGCCCACTGGGCTGTAACGGGAAGTCTCCCTGTGTTCTGCTCATACCTCAGTCACCTCTCACCCCCTTGTCACGCTAGCTTGTGATTCCTGCACCTCTCTCATCTCCCATGGTTTAATGTGTGTGTGTGTCCTCGGACTGCGTCTTTGTCATTACTGTGTTCTCAGCACCTACACAGGCCGAGGCACTGAGTTGGTGCTCCAGAAAGTGGTTTGGGCCCTGGCTAGTGGGCTCAGTTGGTTGGAGCACCATCCCATAATCGAAGGGTTGTGGTCTCGATTCCCGGTCAAGTCACATACCCGGACCACTGATCCAGGTGTATGGGAGGCAAGCAGGTAGTGCTTCTCTAGCATTGCTGTTTCTCGCTCTCTTTTCTTTCTCTCTAAAAGCAATGAAAAAAATGTTCTCTGGGGAGGATTAAAAGTAAATAAATAAATAAAATAGTTTGAATGAGTCAACAGTCAAATGATGCGGTGGGTGGATGCTGGGTGTTGAGTGGGCAGGTGGGTGGGCAGGCGGGTGGATAGGGCGTTGCTGGTGAGCGTGATAGTGCAGCGGGTCTTGGATCCTGTGGAACCTGAAACACTAAATGCCGCAAATGGCCTATGGTAGGCACTCAGTGGTGTTTGCTGAACGAGTGTGGGAGGACGCATGGCTTGATGGATGACTGGAGATGACCAGGTGGCCTGGAGCGGGGTTGGGGAGGTGCTTGGCCACATGTATGTATGGGTGGCTCTGCCACACCGTGCCTTGCACTGGCCTAGCAGTCCCGAGCCCCTGTCTCACCTGGCCTTTTTCATCTGCATATTCCAGGAGTGTTCATCACCTACGTGATGCTGAAGAACCAGAAGGTGACCAAGAAGCCTCAGTGAGGGCTCTGCAGGGATGAGGCTGCCGACCCCTCCTCTGCCTCCCCTCTTGGGCATACCAAGGGCAGGGGCCCACAGTACTGGTCTGCACACTGCAGCCCCCTCAAGCATGGCTGCCCTGCAGACGCCCCCAGGGATGGAGCTGTTCAGGACTGGCCCCTGACTGACCAGAACCCCCACTCCTCTCCTGCTCACCCTTCCAGATCAGGAGGGAATACCTGGAAGTCTCCTCTCCCCATTCTGGCTCAGGGTCTGAAAGAAGCACGTCCTCCCTACCTCAGCTTCAGACCCGCTGCCACGTTTTCCTCTGGGTTCTACCCTCTTGCCTCCATTTCCCTCCTGTCACCTGCTAATGTTGGAATTGGCAGGTTCTGAGACAGCATGTGGCCTCTCCCCCTGTGTCCTTTTCCTCCATGAAGATAGCTTTCCCAGATCCGATGTAGCCTGGGACCCCACAGGACTTCTAGACCTGGAAATCCTAGCAGGGGGTACTGACGTGCCTCCGGACCAGGACCAGGCTTCAGGACACATTAAGATGGTCACAGCGAGCCTCCAGACCTACTTCTCATGGAGGCCCACCCAGCCCCTCAGCCCTAGCACCGGCCTGTTGGGGAGCTGGACAATAAACCTTGATGGTGTGTTTGTCTCTGTGCCATCCCTGACCAGGGGCGCTGGGCTTTGGGGGCTGGAGAGGGGCTAACAGGTGGTCACTTCAGTGGTCTCAGGTCAGGAGGCCCTGGTTTGGGTAGTGAAATGCCTCAGGTGCCTCCTGGGTCATCCCTGCACTGGACACAAGACAAAGCTGGAACTGGGGCAACTGCGGTACTGACTTGGGGCAGCACATGGCTGGGGACTCCTGACAATCTGTCAGTCCCCATGGCAGCCTTCTCCATGCCACCTCTGTCAGCCCAGCCAGCATGCACTGGTGTTTTAGGGGTCCTCAGGCCAGTCTCCTAAAAGCCCAAGCCTGTTGTCCATCTTTTACACCAGCAGCCCAACTTGGTCTGAGTGGTGAGGGCTGCTACCAAGCCAGAGCAGGGCTGGTTCTGCTGTGTTCAGGTTGATTACCTGGCACAGGCCTGGCCCTAGCCAAGCAGCCATCTCTGCATGCCCCTCTGGGCAGCCAGCTGTCCCATGCACAGTGCCTAATGTAAGCCTCCATCCTATCACCTGGGATGTCCACTCCCTGCAGTTAGCAGAGGTGTCATTCTCAGGCCAAGTGCAGGCACACCTGCACTGCCCTCTCCCAGTCCCCCAGGTGGAGCTCACCCCTAGGTTTTAGGTCCTGTCCCTTCCCACAATTGTGGCAGGAGCCTCAGGACTCTGATGTACTGCTCTCCTGGGAACAGCCTCTGCCTCTCAACAAGGTCTTCCTGGCATTTCCTGACAGGGTCCAGGCTCTCACTTCAGGGACCTTCCATCAAGCTAGCAATTCCCTCCAAGTTTCTGCCCCCCCCCCTTCATAGCCAGACTTGCCAAAGGTTACTCACACCTGCTTCCTGTATTTCCTTACCTCTGCTGTGCCCAGCCTAACCCCAGGGGGGCTTCACCCACCCACATGACCAGTGGTGTCTGCTTTTTTAAGTCCAAAGCACATTTCCTCGACTCCCACCACGTATGGCCTGTGACATCACCCTTGGGTGCACCCGTAGATGTTCTGATGTCTCATTCTATTTTATGTCTTAGTCCCTCTGCTCTGCCATGAGAGGGCAGGGCCCTCAGGACTCGGTCACAGGGTTCCTCACCTCCCACTCTCCCCGGGTGACCTGGCCTGTACCCAGACACCCCCAGCCTGGCTATCTCCTGAGCGGCCATGTGTTGCATGTGCACCAGCCACTCAGCTAATGTCTCCTTCGAATGTCATAATGGCACCTCAAGTTAATCCCATCATGACCTGAATTCTCTCAGGACCCTCCCTCCCAGATCTGGTTCTCCCCTCACAGCCTGCACCCTCTTGACTGGTGTCATCCTGTGTCCCTGGTCCCAACCAGAGGCCCGGCAGACATCACTGACCTTGGCTTTCGTCTCTCGTCCCCCTAGCCACAAGACCCTGAGTCCTGTCAACTCTACCCCTCACCCCCCAGCCATTCTGGATGCAAAGCCACCATTCTCTGTCAGATCACCGGTTTTCCTCGTGCCCCTGGTCCCCTCCAAATGGACTGAATGATAACCAGTGACCTTTCAAAAACAACTGAGCATCTTCCTCATGCACTTACAATGCTTCTCTGGGCCCCCACCCCTCTCCATACCATGGGCTGTCTGCAAGAACCTGCATGCATGCCCCCTAACTTCTGCTCACACCACCCGCTACCGTGTTGGCCTTTCCTTTCCTGGGACTCACTGTGGCTCTTGGCACATCCCACTCCCGCTGGTTCAACATATACTTACCAAACATTGGTTCGTGCCAGGTGCAGAGCTAGGAAGCGCGCCTTGTGTGTTTTCTGCCCTCCTGGAAGCCCCATTCTAGGAAGAGGGTTTGAGAAACAAACGAACAATCTCCAACAATGTTACGTGTGATAAGGAGAAAGCAAGGTGATGTGATCAAGACGAGAAGGAACTCGACGAGGAGTCGACCAAGGTGACGAGGGAATAAGGAAATGGAAGTCCGAGGAAAAGGTTTCGAACAGGGAACTGCACTCGCAACAGCCCCGAAGTGTGGAAGTTTTGGGTAGCCGAGGGCTAGCGGGGAATCCTGTGGCTGTGTAGTGGACGTAGGGAGAGTAGGTTGGGATGGGGCTGGAGAGGGGGCAGAAGGCGCTGGGGCTGTAGCGGGGCGGGGGGGGGGGGGTGTTAGATTTTGTTCAGTGCCGTGGCAATACCCAGTGAAGGCTTTCGGCAAGAGAGTGACATCATCTGCTTTATACTTTTTAAAGATCTCCCTAGCAGCTGTGTTCCTCCCGTTCACCACCAAATGCCCAAAGCCTAGCACTGCTCCTGGCCCGTAGTATGTGTTAAAATACACGTGTTGAATGAATGCTTGCCCCAGACTTCCTATGTAACCTGGAGGTAGTCGCTTCTCTCTCTGGACCTTAGTTTCCTCACCCGAAACACGGTGGATGGGAATTTCACTCCAGAGTGTGTGGGCAGGACTGTATTTAGCTTACCTGCCTCCTAGAGCAGCCTTGAGAATCAGGGAAGGAAAGCCAGGGAGGGTAAGGGAGGATGGTTTTCCCTCCCAGGGACGACGGCCAACGCGCCCCCACCCCACCCCACCCCACCCCACCCCACCCAGGACCAAGGTCCGAAGGATGCTGCAGCTCCGGAGGCGGGACCCGCAGGCGGCTTCCGCGTTGATTGGGTGCAGCCGTGACCGGCGCCACGGTATTGGTTAGTCCAGAAGCAGGGGCGGGGCCCGGCTCCCGCAGCTGGGCTGCCCAGCGGCCGGGGATGCGGTCAGAGCCCGAGAAGCTGCTTTGGGGCGCCATGGCCGCGCCGAGCCCGGGGCCCCGCGAGGTAGGTGCGGACCCGAGAGAGGACAGTAGAGGGAAGGGTTTGGGAACAGGAGCCGGGCCTCCCCTCCGAGGCGGGGCGGACACACCCCCACCCAAGCTCCGGAGGGGTCCTGCACTGGGTGGGGACAGGGACACGCCCCACGTGGGAACCTCAGGTATGAAGGGGAAAGCCTGGAGGGTATCCCTCGAGTTAATTTCTTCAGTTTTCTTGTGGGGGGAAATAGAGGTGATAATAAAACCTCCTCCTTCATAGGGCTGTTAGGAGGGCGAGTTCTCAGCCAGTGCTGGTCACACGATGGGTGCCCAGTACTAGTGGGTCAGCAGCGGCTATGACCTCTGCTCCGTGCCGATCTTCCGAGCTGGCCCGGAGGAACTCAGCACAGATGAGAGGAATAGAGGACTCAACCACGGCAGCGCACGCAGCCTCTGTCACGGGCTCCTGTGCACAGATCCCAAACTCCACAGTAACAGCGGTTAATATCTGCCACCACGTTGTTAGAGTTCTCATTTCACAGATGAGAAAACGAGGCCCGGAAGGTCAGGTGGCTTACCTAAGGTCGCACAGCTGGGGAGAGACGGTCAGTCTTGGGCCAGGTTTGGCTGCAGAACTGCATTTTGTGCTTAATGCTAATAATAACCAGAACTCTATTTTGGGGGTGCTGACTGCATGCCAGGCAGCGACTGTGTGACCTCTCTCAACAACCAGTGAGGTGGGTACCAGAATTATTCGTATTTCACAACTGAGGAAACTGAGGCAGAGAAGGGCTCAAAGTGGTGGACGCGGGACTCACAACCATACCTTTCCCCTCTGTGATGCTGCCACATACTCATTGCTTCTTGTGCCTTCTGCCACCAGGTCCTGGCCCTGTCCCCAGAGGCTGGACACAAAGCAACTACCTCAAGGTCCGGCCGCCGTGGCCTTCTCTGGCGTCTCCGAGACAAGCAGCTGCGCCTAGGCCTGTTTGAGATCAGCCCGGGGCATGAGCTGCACCGGCTGACATGCATGATGCAGGCGGGGCTGTGGGCTGCCACCCAGGTCTCTGTGGATCACCCATGTGGGGTGGGTGGCCAGTCTGCTCTAGGCACTCATGGCAAATCCAGGCTGGTGCCCTGTCTTACTAATACTGTAGACTTGGGGTTCAGAAAGGACTATAACGGGAGGGAGTCAGGGGGGTGGTACAGGGAGGGAAGGACATTCTGGGGATGGAACGGAGGCCAGGAAGCCAGAAAGTCCAGGGTGTGCCACCTGACTCAGGTGGTTGCTGTGTGACTCTTGGTGGGCCTCTGCCTCTCTTTGTGCCTCAGTGTCCCCATCTGTGTAATGCATAATGACACGGCCTGTGGGGCCCTCCCAGTTCTGCCAGGGTGTGTGGTTGAGAAGGGACCCTACCGCCACCCCGGCAGCACAGCCCATCCTCCCAGGAGCTCAGGCTGGGGCCAGGCTGGCTCAGCAGAAAGGGCTGCCCAGCTGCAAGCTCAGCAGCTGGACGGGCCCGGGTGAGCACGTGTGTTATTTGTGTGTGCACAGTGTGATTGCATCCCACAGATACAGGGGCCTAGAGGGTCTGAGAGAGTGTAGGAGCCAGAAAGGGGGGTCCTTTGAATCTCATCGCCTGCTGAAAATCACAGCCTGACCTCATTGCCTGCCGATTATCTCCCATGGACCCCCAGTACTGAAATGATCATGGCCTCAGCATCTTGTTGGTTCAAGGCCAAGGGGTAACTGCTCAGCCTAATTCACACTCCATCCCTCCCTTACTCACTTCAGCCACTTGGGCCCTCCTTCCCTTCCTGGTGGCCACCAGTGCTGTTCTCACTGCACTGACCATCCTCCTCCTCCTCTCCACTACCCTTCAGATTTCAGCTTCCAGATCGCCTCCAGGAAGCCTCTGATCCTGCTCCTCCCAGGCTGGGTCAGGCAGGTCCCTTGGCTTCAAGGCCATCTCCTTTTACTGAGATGGCATCCAGCTTCACTGTGTGTCTGGGTGAATGTGCCAGGTGCTAGGGACCCAGCTCTGGAGGAGACATACCCGGGACCTGCCTCCAGTCACTCATCCTCCCTGCAGCTCTGGCGTTGTCTGCAGGCCCCATCTGCCCACCTCGGGCACACCCAGGGCAGTCTGTTCGCTGGAGGAATCAAATTAGGGAAGGGGTGAGGCCAGGTGCAGAATGCTTGGAGATCCCAGGTCTGGCAATGGGGAGCTGAGACTTGCTCTGAGTCCTTCTGCCCCTCCTTGCAGGGGCTGCCCACTGAAGAGGATTTCTCCGAGGTCCTGACCCAGGTTCACGAGGTACGAAGCCTCAGAGTACAGCAAGGAGGGGGCAGATGCCATCTTAGTTCTCTTTCCTCAGTTCCCCTGTGGGTGCAGAGCCTCTGGGCCTTCAGGAAGGGTTGGCACCCCTGCACCAGGGCCAACTGCACACACCTGGGCCCCAGTGGACACTCTTGGGGCTGCTCTTCCTCCTCTGCAGGGCTTCGAGCTGGGCACCCTGGCTGGCCCGGCCTTCGCCTGGCTGCGCCACTCCCTAGGCCTGGCCGAGGAGGACTACCAGGCCGCCCTGGGGCCCGGCAGCCCCTATCTGCAGTTCCTGAGCACCTCCAAGAGCAAGGCCAGCTTCTTCCTGTCGTGAGCTGGCAGCAGGGGTGGGGAAGGGGTGGGAGTGGTGTCCTGGGGTGGAAGGTGGCTTTTGGGGAGAGAAATAGAATGGTCAGGTCAGGGAGGGTCCCAGCCAGATAGAGGCTGGAGAAGAAACTGAGGGCAAGGGGCTGGCCCTGGGCAGACAGCCACACCGACAGGAGAGGTCAGGGAGCCTGGTGGGAGCCGCTCCCACCCGGCCTAGGCAGTGACCTCCACCTCCTGTCCCTCCCCCGCCCCAGCCATGACCAGCGCTTCTTCCTGAAGACCCTGCGGCCCAGGGAGGTGCGGGTGCTGCTCTCCCACCTGCCCCGTTACTTGCAGCATCTGCGGCGGCACCCGCACTCGCTGCTGGCGCGGTTGCTGGGTACGGCGGGGCCAGGGACCTGGGACTGCTGGGGCGGGGCGGGGGCCAGGGAGTGGGGCGCGGAGTAACTGAACTTAGCCAGGTGAGGGGAACTGGAGGCCGATCTGACTACAGCCAGAGACAAGGTTTCCTGGGTGGTAGTTTAGGGGGGCCTGGTGCGGGGGCGGGGGGCGGGGGGAGGCGGGCCCCAAAGGAGGCGGGGTTGGGATTGGACAATCCTCGGGGAGGACATGTGGGCGGGACATCTTTGGGACAGAGTCTAGAGGCTGTGGGGTCTCCGACTCCGGAAGGAGGGGTCTGGTGCCGCAGCTGGACGGGCAGGATCAGAGTGGTGTGCAACTCGAGGAGGCGTGGCCCGGAGCTGGAACTAGTTGGACCCTGGGTTTAAGGGTTCGGGGCCCCTCACCTGGCACGCTCTCTCTTTCTAGGAGTGCACAGTCTGCGCATGACCCGGGGCAAGAAGGTAGGTGAGGCCGAGTGGAGGGGTCCTGGGCGCGAGCGGGCAGCTGCAGGGTGAGATCCTGTCCTTCCTCACTCCCCACCGCGTCCCCAGAAATACTTCATCATCATGCAGAGTGTCTTCTATCCAGCTGGCCGCATCTCCGAGAGGTGAGTTGGCCTCGTGGGGCCTTAGTCCCCCTGGGAAGATGCCACCAGAAGGACTCACCCTCACTAGGTAGAAGGCAAAACTGAGGCCCAGGGGGAAAGGACGTTCCCAAGATCTCCTGATGGGTCAGAGACCATGATACCCATGACCAGCTTCTCTCGAGCACTCATGATGCATTGGGTGCCGTGTTGAGACATTTGCCTTCGTAATCTGTATTCCCGAAACAAATTGGAGGGGCAGGAATTGTTTTCGCCCCCATTTTATAGACAAGACGCTGGGGAGGAGGGGCCACACAGCTACTGCGTGAAGGGCTCGGAGTCAAGCCCGGCCTGCGAGTGCCTCCCCACCGTGACTCCGTCCTCACTGAGGCTCCCCAGTACTGTTCCTCGGGCCTCCGGGGGTTAGACCCCTGTGTCTGGGACACCCCCAGGCTTGACTGGGTGCTGGGAGTCAGGCACAGGCAGGGGTAAAGCCTGGTCTGGGCTTCCAAAGGCCCGAGTTCAAGTCCCTGCTCTGCTCTTTACTGTGTGGTCTTTGGCAAGTCAAAGAAAATCTCTGATCCTTTCTCTTGTCCCCAATATGGGGACGACAGCAGAACGGGGTGGTGCTGAGGATTTGAGCAGTTACCTAGTGGAAGCTCTCATTTTTTCTCGTTCCTCATTATCGTGAGAGTCCCTGTGTATCTCGAGTCTGTGTGGAGCTGAATTCCGGCGTGTGCCCCCGCTCCCCTCGCCTGCAGGTATGACATCAAGGGCTGCCAGGTGAGCCGATGGGTGGAGCCGGCGCCTGAGAGCAGCCCCCTTGTCTTGGTGCTGAAGGACCTCAACTTTCAGGGCAAGACCATCAACCTGGGTGAGCCACGGAGCAGTCACTGCCTGCACTTCCTCCATTCTGGGTGAAGTTCAGAGGGTGTCCTTGGCACCACCCTCTGCCTAAGTCATCCAGAACCGAGATTCTGGAGTCAGGCAGAGCAGGGTTCAAATCCGGACTCCACAATTTAGTAGCTAGGTGACCAAGGCAAATTACAACTGAGTTTCCTTATCTTCGAAAGGGGGTGGCGATGACACCTGCCCTCTTGGGGCAGATGCGTGCAGAGCCCTCAGCACCTTGCCTGGCGCCCTGTGAGCACTCAGGCAGGGCTGCCCGTGCTTCAGCAGGGCCCCAGCGGAGCTGGCTGCTCCGGCAGATGGAACTAGACACCGCCTTCCTCCGGGAGCTCAATGTGCTGGATTACAGCCTCCTGCTGGCCTTCCAGCATCTCCAGGAGGATGAGAGGGGGCCAGGTAGCCTCCTGTTCCGCACGGCCAGGTAGGTGCCACCACAGGGTTAGGGCACAGTGCCACCCTCGGGCAGCCTGGCCTCGCTTACAGGGTCAATTGGCTGGGGCCCCCAGAGGAGGTGGTAGCTTCACCCCTGCCCCTCCCCGTCGGCCCCCAGGTCTGTACAAGGGGTACAGAGCCCGGATGAGCCCGGAGCTCAGAACCGCCGGCTGCTGCCCGATGCCCCCAACGCCCTTCACATCTTGGACGGCCCGGAGCAACGCTATTTCCTGGGTCTCGTGGACCTCACCACCGTCTACGGGCTTCGCAAGCGGCTGGAGCACCTGTGGAAGACGCTGCGCTACCCCCACCGCACCTTCTCCACCGTCAGCCCGGCTGTCTACGCCCGGCGCCTCTGCCAGTGGGTGGAGGCGCACACTGAGTGATCAGCGTCTGGCCGCGCGCTCCTCGTCTGGACAAAGGGTGCACCTTTGGAACGCCTGTTCCAACTTGGTCGGGGCAACGGATCGGGCTCCCCTCACCTGCTGTTCCTCCAGCTGGCCTCCAGAGGGCAGAATTCCCTAACTAATAAGACACAACCTCGTCTGAGGGTGATGCTGTGCCTGGCATTGTGCCAGGGACTCCCCACATTAGCTGATTCAATCTTCAAAAAAAAGTGCTGTTATTCTCTTTTTACAGACCACGAACTGGAGGCTCATGGGGTGAAGGGACTGAGCGAGATGACTTAGCAATAAATGCCGGAACAAGGACTCAACTATGCCTTTTGGACTCAGGAGCCCTATTCTCACTCATCCATCAGCTCCTGCAGCCCTGTCCTCATGCTGTGGGAAAGGGGGGAGGCCTAAGGCTCCAGCTCAGGCTTTTTGTCGTCCAGATGGGGAAACTGAGGCCCAGAGACTTTAAGGGGGCTTATGCACGGGTAAGTGGCAAGGCCAGCCCGAGAACCCGTGTCTCCCTCCTTCTACCCCTGGCTCATGGAGGGCCCCCTGGCCTCCTTCTGGCGTGGCCTCTCTTTCCTGCAGCTCTGGGATGCACTGTGTTTGGGCCACTGTTGACCTTGAGTGAGTTCTGCCTTGCTCTAAGTCACTTCTCTTTTCCAAGAAATGGGGCAGGGGGTGGTGGGCAGACCAAGGGCCCTGGCCAAAGACGTCACCAAGAGCAGGAAAGCAAAGTGCCTGCATAGCCCCTGATCATCCCTTCTCCCTCCTCCAGGAAACTGCAGCCTGGCCTCTGACATCCGTCCAGTCTGACCGTGCCCAAGCCAGCCTTTCCTCTGGCGCTGCTCTGAGGGCCTGCTGTGTGACCGGGGCAAGGTGCTAAACCTCTCTGTGCCTCAGTGGTCTAATCTGTAAGATGGAAGGATGAAAATGGACCTCCCAAACTCATTTATTGAGCACCTGCTATGGTTTTGGGGGACCTAGGGGTGGAGCAAGAGGCCCAGATTTCACCTCTGAAGAACTCAGTGTGGAGCATGGCAGCGGTGAGGAAAGCAGCCTGATGCAACAAAGCCTTGTGAAGGAGCACAGGGCCATGAAGCTCAGGGCAGGGGCCCCTCCCAAGTACAGGATGGGCGGGTGGTTTCTAATCCCTAAACTGAGAGCAGAAGGGTTGGGTGCAGCCCTGGGAAGGTCCCAGGCTAAGGGCACAGCAAAGGGTTGAGGTCGAGAGAGGATGGCCTTTGAAATAAAGAAACGTGTCTGTGGTCGGAGTTGAGAGCATGGTGAGGGGCTACATGGGCCGAGAGCTGACCCCCAGGGCTGGGTGACTCTGGACCTTGGGAAAGCCACTCAGCTACACCAAACACTGCCGTTCCGTTTGTCTTCAGAGGAAAGGAGGAAAAATGGCTGATGGGGAAGGGACAGGAAAGGGAAAGCTTATGTTGCAGGCTTGGAGTGTGGGTTCCTGGAGGTACAGATATACAGATACAGATATAAATATAGATGTGTAATTGACATCACCCCTAGATACCCAGGTGACCTTCGGCTACAACTTTTCTAAGCTAACACAATCCTGGGAGAATTTCTGGTTCTGACTCAGTAGGAGGAAGTCAAGACATCGGTGTGCTCAGCTCAGCGCCCACTCGGGAGACGGGTGGGTGGTGGAAATGCGATCGAGGTAGGGTAGCTCTGCAGGGAGCTGGGGTTTGGCTCCACATTTACCTGGGGTCTTTATCCACAGGGCTAAGTCGGAGCCCCAGAGCCCTGCACAGCTAGATAAGGATGGCTCAGCCCCTCCCTCCCTTGGGGTCTCTGGCAATGGCCTGAGGGGTGACAGGTAAATGACTTGCCCAAAACCTCACGGGGCCTGGGACTCCTGGCTTTCCTAACTCCTGCATTCAGCAGACCTCGTGTGTATCAGGCACTGTGCAGGTGCTAGAAATGCCCTGAAGACATGGCTGGCCTGACTGCCCACACGGAGCTCAGAATCCAATAGGTCAGTAGACCACAAACAAGAAAACCGTCGTACACAGGATGATTTCTGCCTGTGACAGTAATTGAAAAGGATAAATCAAGGTGGCACTGGAAGGATGAGAGTGCAGTGTTGGACAGAGTGGTTGGCAAGGAGGTGACGCTTGAGCTGAATGACAAGAAGGAGCTGGCATGTGATTAGAGCAATTCAGGTAGTAGTAGGATACAGCAAATGCAAAGTCCCTGAGGTAGAAATGAGCTCCGTGTAATTGGGGGGTGGAAGGGTGGCCCAGGTGGGTGGAGGGTGATTCAGTGGGAGGAAAGAGTTTAAACTGCAGGGCTTTGGGCAGGGGGAGGAGAGCGGCTTTTGCCAAAACCAAACTGAAGAGCTTCCTTTGAAACCGCGGGACTTTCCCAGGTCGCACTGCAGAGGTGAGATCCATCCGCACCAGCCCCGCGGGGGCCCAGGACATCGGGCGTGCCCACCTCGGTGTAGCCCTGGCAAGGAGGGAGTTGCCTCTCTGGGGTAGGAACTGCCACTTCGCCAGCCATGGTGGCCACGAATGAATCCATAGGGAACTCACCATTGTCCCCTAGGAGTTGTGTCTGTGAGAACAGAAACTGGACAGACGAGGACCTGAGGGAGGCTGAAGGGCACCCACTGTGTGCCACGCCTTGGCGTGGAGCCCCAGGGGGAGACCGACTGGGACCACTCCCCTGGAGGTGTGCCCAGGTTGGGGCGGAGGGGACCAGCAGGGCTTGTGCTCACAGGAGGCCTAGGGGCAGGGCCACTTCAGCAGGGCGGGGAGAGACACAGAGGCCTGGATCCACAGCTTGGGGGAGCTGGCTTTGCACCGGAGCAGAGGAGACTTGGAAAGTTGCTGAAAGTTCCACACGGGAACCTGGATTCTGAAACGGTACCAGAGCAATAGAACAGGCTGGTTCCCAGGCCGGGGCCCTGCAGAGGGTGGTGGGTGTGGTAGGGCTGGTAAGATGAACTTTTTGGCCTCTGAATTATTTTGTAAAAAAAAAAAACCAAGCAAACACTTTAGCCCTGCCTGGTGTGGCTCAGTAAATTGAGCATCAGCTTGCAAAATGAAAGGTCGCTGGATCAATTCCCACTTGGGGCACATGCCTGGGTTGTGGGTCAGGTCCCCAGTTGAGGGCAAGGGAGAGGCAACCAGCTGATGCTTCTCTCGCACATCGGTGTTTCTCTCCCTCTCTTTCAACTACCCTCCCCTCTCTCTAAAAATAAATTTTAAAAATCTTTTAAAAAAAACCCACTTTTGATAGAAAGCATGCTTTCTGCTGTACCACAGGCCGGCCCCTCCCTGCCGTACCATATCTGCCCCTTCCACCCTTTCTGACCCCTGGAGGCACTTGAGTTTGAAGTCTCCAAGGGGCCCCATCTGAACCTTCAAATGGGACACATTTCAGCATTTGCAGACTCCCTGGACTGAGTTATCTAGGATTTGGAGGACACTTTGGGAAGGGGTCTGTTGGGAAGTGAAGCTCAGTGGTCAGCCAGCTTGAAACTCCATGCTGCCTGACCCCAAGTCCCCCAATTTCAGAAACGGGAAAACTCAAGTCTGACCGCAGCCACGGCTGAGCAACTCTGACACCCTCTAGGTTGTCAGAGGATGGGCCTTTCCACTAGCGGTCGCCCACTCCTAACTGGGGCAGGAGGGTATTTTATTTTTATTTTAAAATTGAATTTATTTTCCACCCAGCCCCTCAACCCCCTCCCCTCTGACAGCTGTCAGTCTGTTCTTTGTATCTATGAGTGTTTCTATTTTGTTTGTTAGTTTATTTGGGGGAGGAGCTTAAACAAATGACAAGGACAGAAAAGATGGACTAGGATGCTGAACTCAGACTCTACGCCCCGCCCCACCGCTGCTGAAACCTGCCTTCGGCCCCGCAGGCCCCGCCCTCGCTCGGAGGCGTCCGGCCGCTCAAGTCCCTCCTTACCAGCGCGGGCGGCACTCCTAGGCTCCGCCCCTGACGCTCAGGCCCCACCCACACCGTTCTCCTCCCTAAGTTAGCAGCCCTAGCTCCCGCCTCCGGCAGCGCACATTCCGCTTCCAGCCTCCTGGAGCCTCGGCTAAGGAGACGCTTGTGCCCCGGGGCTCCAGCTTTCAGGCCCGCTCGCCGGGTCCGCGGGCCATGGAGCTCCCAGTGGCAGATCGAGAGCGGTCGGCGCGTCCCAATTTGCCCGCCCGGTTAGCTCCCGCTGGGGGAGGGGGTGGTGGAAACCCAGAGAGGGGCGGAAATCCTGCTCCCTCACCCCAGGCCTCCTCGTGTCCCGCGTGTAGTGAGGTAGGAGGGTGGGTGGGAGTCAGAGCTCCTGGCTCCTGGTTCTGTCCGACCAAGACTTGATGGGTGACCTTGAGCCCAGGGTTTCCTCTCTCTGCCTCTCCTTCCTCTTCTGCACGATGGCATTTGGGTTGGGGGAAGAGTTCCCGAAGGTCACAGATTCCAGCTCCTTAAGGACAGGGCCAGTGCTTTTGGAGTTTGGGTACTTCTGTATTCAGAAGCCATTTGCCTTGACCCCAGCCTGTACCCTCCCTCCCCTGCCTTAGTTTCCTCTGAGGCCTGGGACCCAGCTCTGAGTTTCTGGGTCTTGACAGGTGCCTGGCTCCCACCCCTTCCCAGCCCTGGAGACAGCAGCCCTCTTGCTGCTGAGTGGCAGCGACGGCATGAAGGCTCAGGTAAGTGGGGGAAAGAAAAGCTCACAGAGGACTCGGAGGTGGCTTCTGGCATAGCAGCGTCAGTAGCCTCACCCGCCCCAGGACTGACCACCCCTTCTGATCCCACTGTCCCTGAGCTGGAGAAGGGTAGCCTGTCCTCAAGGTCCAGCTCTGATCTGGCAGGCTGTGTGGCCCCAGGCAGGTGGTGTAACCCCTCTGGTTTCAGTGCCTTGCCCCTCTCCCCTGCAAATGGAGATAATACCACTACCTCCTGTGAGCAGCTGGGAGCCCCCCAGGTGAGCCATCTGCCTGGGAGTGAGCTATGGTGTGAAAGTTCTGTTTAGCTGCTCTTGACCTGAATCAGCAGCCCCTGGCAGTGGGAGAGAGCCCTGGACTTAGGGGAGTCAGCCGCCACTGCCTGCCCTGAGGTCTCTGGGTCCCTTGTGCACCAGCCCAGCCTGAGGCCTTGGGGGCTGTACTTCCCCACTCTCCCCTCCCGAGCTCCCCTCGCACAGATTTGTTTTTAGAAGTGATACGGTTTATGGGCAGAAAAAGTTGTGCCTGTTGGTTGCCCCAGGAAGGCCAGCCCTCCAGTAGGACTTCTCGGTACCATGGCTTTTGGCACATGGTTTCTGCAGACAGAGCTCCCGAAGAGCAGCTTTCAGTTACTGAAACCACTTCTTGAATGACACTTCTCTCACAGCCCCTTCTTGACCTCCCTGCTCACCTAGACTGCTGGCTCAGACCATGATCTCCGGCTTGGTGGACTGCCACTGAGTTGGGTAGGGGCCCAAGGGTGGGCATACTGTCAGCCTCAGTCCAGGGTCTGAAGGGGGCTGGTTGCCCTGTTGAGGGGGCACCCTGCTGTCCTCATGTGCACAGCACTTTACAGTGCACAGAGCTCTGTCACCCCTGTAAGTTCGCACGTGAGTGCTACTGGCCCCTATTTTGTAGAGAAGGGAACAGGCCCGACGGGGAAGACAGGCACATGCAGGGCTGCACGGTGTGCCCAGGCTTCTGGTTAAGGGCACGGGCTCTGCAGCCTGGACTCGGTAACTGGCCCTGCTGTTTTCCTGCCAGGTGGCTTTGAGTGACACACTTCACCTGAAATCGGTTTCTCTAGAATACAGAGCTCATCTCCAGAGCCTCTGGTACTCTGAGCCTGGCAGCCCAGAGGAAGGAGACTTTAGATTTTGCTGATGTTCTACAAGCTACTGAGCTGGCGTTTGGACCCGTGAGGCCGGGGCACAGCCCCCTGTAGAAGCTTCTCGGAGCCCCAGTGACCCTCACTCCCACCTCATGGCTGCTGTCTCCCCAGGGTCGGTTCCTGCTCATCATCCTGTGCTCCTTGGGCTTCTCCGCTGCCTATATCCTGCTCTGCTGCTGGGCCTCCCTGCCCTTCTGCCTGGTCTCCTGCCTGGGCCCCCACCTCTCCACCAACTCCAGGCCCACCGTGCCGGGGCCCCTGCACTTCAGTGGGTATAGCAGAGTGCCAGATGGGAAGGTGAGTCGGCCAGGCAGCGAGTTGCAGGCAGACCAGAGGTGCTGGGGTGCCCCTCCCAGCTCTCTGGAGGGTAGTGGGAACTGGGCACGTGCCGGGTCAGCCTGGATCCGGGCTGGGCTCCTCTGTGTGCTAACTGTGTGACCTTGGACAGTCAGTTCACCTCTCTAAGCCCCAAGTGCTAGGAGGGAAAGGGTTTTGTTTTATTTTAAAGTTTTTATTTACTGATTTTTAGAGAGACAGGAAGGGAGGGAGAAAGAGAGGGAGAGAAACATCAATGTGCAGGAGATACATCAATCAGTTGCCTCTCATGTGCCCCCACCTGGGAACTTGGCCCACAACCTAAGCGTGTGCCCTGACTGGGAACCGAACTAGTGACCCGTTGGTTTACAGGCCAGCAGTCAATCCACTGAGCTATACCTGCCAGGGCTATTTATTTATTTTTAGAAAGGAGAAAGAGAGGGAGAGAAACATCGAGGTGTGAGAGATACATCTATCAGTTGCCTCTCACACGCCCCGAGCGGGGGACCTGGCCCACAACCCAGGCATGCACCCTGGCTGGAATCGAACTAGTGACCTTTCATTCTGTGGGACAATGCCCAGCCCACTGAGCTACACCAGTCAGGGCGGGAATGGGTTTTTAATTCAACAGACATTGCCTGGCTGCTGTCAGCTGAGTGCTGGGGTGGGGGTGGCCCCCTGGAGCTCCCGTTCCAGTGGGGGAGATGGACGTGACATCCTGGTAGCAGGTGCGTTGTGTACGTCTTCAGATTTAACTGTGGACTCACACTCCATTCGTCCAACGAGTGTGTGTTTGGTGTCTTGAAAGTGTCTCGCCCCGTGCGGGTTGCTGCTGGGAGTAGAGATGACGCAGCTACGCTGTCAGCCTAGAGCTCCCCGCTCGGGGGACAGGGACACTGGAGCCCAGGGCGACGTGGTAGCTGTGCCCCTGCCCTGTGGCACCCACCTCCCCGTGCCAGCTCTGCTGGGTGAGGTTCAGAGCACTTTCCACCCTTCACCCCGATTTCAGTGGCCCCCGTGGTAGGTTTCTCAGAGGCGTGCTGTGCCGACACCCAGCGTGGGCAGCTCTGGGTTTGGAGTTGGACGGCCCTTTGAGTGTCTGTCGGAGCGGGGTGTGCTCAGGAGCCCTGGACTGGAGGAGACCTGCTTCAGGTCTTCGTTCCTCTGGGTCTCAGTGGCCTCCCCGCCTGTAAAGGAGCCTCGTTGAAGTTCCTTTCTCTGCAGGGTTGCCGAGCAGGCTCACCTGGGGGATTCGTGGACAGTGTTCAGAACAGGTGCTATTGAAATATTTGTCCAGGATGAAGGGGCTCACAAACTCCAGCACCCCACAAGTTCGGCCAGGCGGGACAAATGCTGGGGTGGGCTGAGCGGACCCTGTCCCATCTTGCATGGTGGTGACCAGCGTTCGTTCTGGACACTCAGAGACTTTGGGCAGGTGGGCTCGGCGTGGCCAGAGTCTCTGTGTTTGTTAATAGAAGCAGGAAGTCCAAGTCTTCAATGTTAAGAGGGCTGGTTTTTATAAATTAGGGATTAAATATTTTAAAGACTTTGTGTAGGACAAGTAGAACACCTCCGGGTCCTGGTGGTGACCTTGGATCTGAATAGACCCCAGTCATTATGAGAAGTTCATACTGAGGGCAGAAGGAAGTCTTGTTCTTTATTGTTGGGATTTGGAACTTGATCCTACGAGTTCTTCAGTCAACATGTTAAATATGAAATGTCCCTGAGGGGGTGGTGACAGCGTGTGTTTTATTAACTGGAATTAATGTCCCACGGCCCTTACAGGGCTTTGTAAATCCTCCTTCCCCCAGGAGGACACGGAGGCTTGGGGTGGGGACAAGTCCTTTTCTGGGAGACTTGGCCCCTGATCCTGAGTTACCTGTAGGCTGGGTGGTTCAGCTTCCGCCTCTTGGAGGGTAGCGAGGTGGGGGCTGGGCCCTCACTGTGTGGTCACTCTCCAGGCATTTTTTAAACTGGTAAGAACGAACGCTACACTTGATCTCAGCCAAAAGGCGGAGAAGGCATCTTCCAGGCATTTTTAACGGAATCCTCACAACCTGGTCAAGTAGATGGTATTTTTATCCCCATGTTACAGGTGAGGGGACTGAGACTCAGCGAGGCCAAGGGACTTGCCCAAGGCCATACAGCCAGGGAGGGGCAGAGCCAGGGTTCAGGCTCAGAACTGGAGGTTCCCAACATTGTCATGCGCACTGAAGACTCTGCCTTTACTGGCTGAAGTGGACACCTGAGTGAGGCGCAGGCAAAGGAATGGCCTGAGTGATTTTGAAGCGTGGAGGTTTCTGTTTACTTAATGACGCATGTATGATGCCCAGCCTGTGCCAGGCGCAGCTCTGAGTGCTTTATAAATATTTGCCCCTGTGACTCCAATGAAGACTTGGCAATAAGGGACTTGTTAGGGCCTCAGCAGAAGGGACGAGGGTCGTGAGTGTGACTAATGTAGAACCTCAGCTCTGCGGCTAGCCCCACCTGCCTGGCTTCAGTCTTCTCATCTGTAAAATGGGCCAATAAAGTACTTAGAGTCGATAGAGGGGTCGAGTGAGGTCAGTAGGTGTACCCTGGGGGAGGAGCGGGGGCAGAAGTTAGGTGCCCACACCTTTCTCTTTCTCTGTCCCTCCTTCCCCTGCAGCCGCTGGTCCGAGGGCCTTGCCGCAGCTGTGCCGTGGTGTCCAGCTCCGGCCAGATGCTGGGCTCGGGCCTGGGCGCCCAGATCGACGGTGCCGAGTGCGTGCTGCGCATGAACCAGGCGCCCACCGTGGGGTTCGAGGTGGACGTGGGCCAGCGCAGCACCCTGCGCGTGATCTCGCACACGACTGTGCCGCTGCTGCTGCGCAACTACTCGCACTATTTCCAGCAGGCCCGCGACACGCTCTATGTGGTGTGGGGCCAGGGGAAGAACATGGACCGCGTGCTGGGCGGCCGCACCTACCGCACGCTGCTGCAGCTCACCAAGATGTACCCGGGCCTGCAGGTGTACACCTTCACCGAGCGCATGATGGCCTACTGCGACCAGGTCTTCCAGGACGAGACGGGCAAGAACCGGTGAGCTGGCCTGCCTGCTGGGGTCTCCCTGCTGGCTCGGGGTCAGCAGGGATGGAGGCAGAGTGGCCCTGCCCCCTCAAAGGGAGCAGGAATCAGAGAGGCTGTCATTCGTCACATTATCACAAAGATCAGGGATCCCAAATGGCGGTGAGGGGTTTGGGGCCTCGTGAGCACTGACCAGCGTGGGGACAGCATCAGGGAGCCCTTCCCTCCCCAGGGGGTGCTCTGAGATCTGAACTGGTCTCTGAAGTCCCTTCTAGAAAATAAAAGGAACAGTTACAGCACTAGCAGCCCCCCTCACGCACCAGGCCCTGGGTTAAGCGCTCTGCATTCAACATCTCGTTTTATCCCGGCCTCCCCTACCCTGCAGCCCAGGAAATACAGCTGCCAGCCTCCAGCTCTCTGCCCAGCTGCCCTCGTGCCATCACCTGCCACATACATTGGGGTCTTGCATCTCCGACAGGTGCCACCACCCTCCTCTGCCCTTGCAGCACCCGCCTGGCTGGTGTCCCCGCTGCCCCTGCAGTCCGAGCTCCAGTCACCCCAGTGAACTCACCCTGGTGGTCACCTGCCCTCCACCCTACAGAAACTTCTCTTCACGTGGAGAATAAAGTCCAGACTCCCGCCTCCTCCCCTCCCCTGGCCCACAGCCTTGTATGATTCGGCTCCTGCTTGCCCGGCTCCAGCCTTACTGGCCGTCTGGCCTTCCTCACACATCCACACTGGTTCTCACCTGCATGCCTATGTATACATCATTCCTTCCGCCTAGAATGTTCTTCCCCTAAACCTCCCCATGTCTGACTCCTTGCCATCCAGGCCTGGGTGGAATGTCGCCTCCTCAGAGAAGCCCTCCCTGACCACCCCATCTGACGATCGCCTCCCACTCGACTCTTCATTTCTTTGTTTCCCTGTCTTCTCAGCGGTTCTCTCCCAGCTGCTTCCTCCTTTGAGAATGTTAGCCTTGGGCGTGGCAGGTTCCTGGCCCCACAGGGGCGTCAGTGAGGCTCAGGTTCACGGACAATCCGACACCCAGGGCAGGTGCAGGCTCCGAATCAGAGACCATTTGACTCTAGGGAACCCCCATTCCCGCTTCCAGCCACGGCTCCCCAGGCTTGGTCCCTTAGATCCAGAGAGCGTGTTGCCAGGCTCCCCACACTTTGCTCAAGTCCTGCGGGTGGTGAGGAGTCAAACAGCCCTGGGTTTGTGTCCAGCTCTACCTCTTGGCCGCTGCTGGCCTTGGGCTGGCTCTGTCCCCTCCCCAGCCTCCTCCAGGACCCTCTCCAACAGGGGTCAAGGTGAGTGGCTTTTGGCCTGGAGGGTAACCAGTGCAATGCCTTGAAGGAGCTGAAGCTAGAGCCTCTGCAGGCCCCTTGCCCCGAGGGGCGGGGGAGGCAGCCAGGCTGACCGTCTCCCCTCCCTGCCAGGAGGCAGTCGGGCTCCTTTCTCAGCACTGGCTGGTTCACCATGATCCTCGCCCTGGAGCTGTGTGAGGAGATCGTGGTGTATGGAATGGTCAGCGACAGCTACTGCAGGTCAGGCCAGCCGGGCCCTGGGTGGGCCGGGAGCTGGGGTGGCTGGGGGGGCCGTGGGCCTCATGCCAAGGGTCTGAGAGCTGTAGGGCTTCGGGTGCGGCAGCCTCCGGGTGGGCAGCAGCGGAAGCACAGATGTCTGTGGAGCTGGTGCTCGGGGGGAAGGGGCTCAGCCTCTGGGGCAGGCTCGGTGCCAATCTCTGCTTGGCCCGTGTAGCCTTAGGCCAGTCACGCAGTCTCCTGGAACCTTCACTTTCTTATTGTGAAGGAGAGAAAATAATCGTACCTTCTTCGGAAGGTTATGGAAATGTTTGCATAGAGAATAAGCTACCTACTGCAACATTGGGACCAGTTACATGTGAGTGATACATTACACCTGAGTTTTCCCTTCCGACATTATGTCTCAATGCTGCGGTAACTGTCAAGTTAACAGAGGGTCCCGTGTCTTCACCCTCTCTTCTCCTCGTGACGTATTTGTTGAGCACGTGGGTGAGATGGCAGGGGCCGAGGTGCCCTCTCTGCTCAGGCCCCTGGCCAGGGCCCAGCACCAGCAAAGCACTTTGTGGTCCTCTCCTTTTTTTTTTAGTTGAGTTTAGACAGACAGATCCGCTGGGAGATTTGCAGAGAGGCAGTTTGTTGGTCCACTTATGTCTACATTTATGGGTTGATTCTGGTATGTGCCCTGACTGGGACTCTGACCCAAGACCTTGGCGCAGTGGGACAACGATCTTAGCAACTGCGCTACCTGGCCAGGGCAGGCTTCATCCTTTTGACATATGGACTCAGTCCATAAGGTGGATATTGCTGTCCCCGATTTATTGATGGGTCCCTGAGGTTTATGGGGTGTGTCTCCGGCCTATCCTCAACCAGCTGGCATGAGGCAGAGCCAGCACTTGGAACACTGGCCATTGGGAAGCTGCCCTGCCCCACCTCTGTCCTGGCCTCCTTTGAGACCAGGAACGGGAGTCCGTGGGCCTGTAGTACCTGGTGAGGGTGGCTGAGTTAGGCGCGAGATCTGGCGGGAGGTGGGAGGGTTCTGGTGGCCCACACCTGTCCCCGTCCCCCACCTGCAGGGAGAAGAACCACCCCTCAGTGCCTTACCACTACTTCGAGAAGGGCCGGCTGGACGAGTGTCAGATGTACCTGGCACACGAGCGGGCACCCCGCAGCGCCCACCGCTTCATCACGGAGAAGGCGGTGTTCTCTCGCTGGGCCAAGAGGAGGCCCATCACGTTTGCCCACCCGTCCTGGAAGGCGCAGTAGCCCGCGGCCCAGCCGGCCACAATGCCTTCGCCAGGCCTCGGTCCTGTTCACACCCCACCAAAAATATTTATTTTATGGATCCTGCCCCTGCCACATGCCAGGTGGACCTAGGGTTCCTTCTTGCCCTGCTCTGCCCTGGGCACACTTGGGGCCAGCGTGGGCCTCCAGACTTGAACGGGGAGTGGGGCACAGTGACCTTTGTACCCTCCTCCCATCCCCACTCCCTGAGTAATCTGAATCTTAATTATGGGGTTCATCCCACCTCGGGGTCTGTCTAGTGGCCTTTGCCCCCAGGGCTGATGGTCCCCCACTCACCAGCTTTGCAACCTTTGAAGTTGCACCGGCCCTGGTCCTTCCTCTCCACACTCCTCCTCCACGTGCTTTTGGTGCCGCGCTTCCTCGGCTGGTCGCCCTGGTCAGGGCGGCCCAGAGCGTGAGGTTCATCGAGCAAAGGGGCATTCGAACTGACTGCCAGGGCCACCTCGAGTGTACGGGTAAACTGTTTTCTGGAACCCTGCCTCCAGTGTGGTTGTGTCTGGGGCTGAGAATTGGCGCCGCTCCCCCTGCCACGATCCTGTGACCTGTTGATCTGAGGGCAGGCCACGTCCTGGGGCCCCTCCTAACCCATTTCGTCTGCCCGCATGTTCCTGCCCCCAGAGCCTGCCCCCTTCAAAAGCCAGGCCAGAGCACCTCGCCTGGAAGAGGCAGCTCAGGGCGGGCAGGAAATTTCTCCACCCCATATCTTTTGTCCAGGGTCAAATCCCTTGCCATTTAAATTTCCTACATCCGAGAATATATTTATTGATTTAGAGAGAAAGGAAGGAAGAGAGAGAGAAACATCGATCGGTTGCCTCCAGTGGCCCGACCAGGGACCAAACCTGAAACCTAGGTATGTGCCCTGACCTCAAATCAAACCTGTGACCTTTTGGGTCACGGGACAATGCTCCAACCTACCGAGCCACACTGGCCGGGGCTAAATTTCCTATTAACTCTGGAGTTGGTTATACTGCCAGAAGGGAAGGCTGGGAGAAGGGGGCAGGCTGGAGGCTTGCCTTCTCAGAGCCTCAGTTTCCTCACCTGTGAAGTGGGAAAGGCCAACCCACCAGGAAATAGCAAGGGCATGCAGCCACCTTGGCAGGGGGCTTGTGTTAGCCCACTTCCCAGATGTGGCGAAGCCATGAGGCTGAGAGCAGAGCCCAAGTGTCTGGGCCCTGAACCAAGGCACTAGAATGGGCCCACGGGCTTCATCACCCTGCCCGCCCTCTGCCTCCTTTCGTCTGGAGACCAGGAGACTGACTAAAGCAGGACCAGGACCCTGGACTTCAGCTGAAGGGGCCTGGGGTTCCAGCTTCCAGGTCCAGGAATCGTCCACTTGACACGTGTGTGACCCGTGCCTTTACCCTCCGGGGACCCTACACTTGATTAGCTTAATGCTCTGCTGTCACTTCAAATACTAATACATTTATTTTTTTTTAATTCGTTTTTAGAGAGAAGGGAAGTAAGGGAGAAAGAGAGGAAGAGAAACATCTATCAGTTGCTTCTCTCATGCCTCCAACCGGGGACCTGGACAGCAACCCAGCAACCTTTGGGTCTGCAGGCCGGTACTCAATCCACTGAGCCACACCATCCAGGGCAGGGTTTTGTTTGTTTAAAGGAGCTGTACATTGTCATTTTGCAGGACCCCACAAATTATGAAGCTGGTCGTGCCAGGGAGTCTGGGTGACCTTCTCAAGAGAATCTAGAGACCTGGCATCCGGCCCACAGCACTGCCTGTTGAGCCCTGCCTTCCACTGCCCAGTGTCAAGCCGGACCAGAAGGTTCTGCAAACCGCAGCAGCTGGCCTGGCCAAGGGAATGGCTCTGAGCAGGTGTCAGGCAGCAGGAAGGGTGGGATGCAGCCGGGCAGGCAGAGGGCTGGTGAAAGAACTGGGTGCAGAGGGAGGCCTCTGGAGTCAAACCTGGCCTCGTTCTGGCTCCACTTCCTGCCCTGGGACCCTGGCAGACTAGTGCCTCTTTCTGGGCCTCAGTTTCCTCATCTGTAAAAAAGCCATCCTACCTCATGGGATTACACAGATTTAGAGATGGCACCTGTAAAGTGCCTGTCCTGAGGGATGGGGTCACCTTTGCTCGCCCAGCCATCATTCATGGTTGGTGGTGCCAAGTGGGCTTGAAGACTTCCCAGCCACGCTGCACCCCCTCACCCCCCTGGCTGGTGTGGCTCAGTGGATAGAGCATAGGCCTGTGAACCAGTCTGGGCACGTGGCTGGTGGGCCAGGTCCCCAGTAGGGGGCCTGTGAGAGGCAAGCACACATTGATGTGTCTCCTCTTTCTCTCTCCTTTCCCCTCTCTCAAAGTAAATAAATTAAAAAAAAAATAGCCCTGGCTGGTGTAGCTCAGTGGATTGAGCATGGGCCTGCGAACCAGACAATTGTGGTTCGATTCCCAGTCAGGGCACATGCCTGGGTTGCAGACCGGTTCCCTGCAGGCCAGCTCCCAGCAGGGGATGCACAAAAGGCAACCATACATTGATGTTTCTCTCCCTCTCTCCTTCCCTTCCCCTCTAAAGATAAATAAATAAAATCTTTTAAAATAATAATAACAAAATAAATAAATAAAAAGACTCCCAGCCCAGCAGCACCTCCCCTCACAGCCTCATCCCTGGGATGCATGGCCCACGGCCCACTAATCCTGGTGGGACCCAAGCTCAACCCCTCCCAGGTGGTTGCCTCCTCCCACTCCAACCCCACAAATATACTGGCTTCACCCTGGGGCCCAGTGACAAGGCGCATCTGTCCTGGCCCTGCCCCTAGTGGGGTGTTTATTGCTGGGTTGGCCCAGATTTCTGGGCTTTATGACCTGGTAGGGACTGTCCACCAGTTACTTCCTCCAGGGAGGCTCCTCGTAGGCCACTCCTGGCTGGGCTGGTGGCTGGGCTGGTGGCTGGTCCCGGCCCGCTGCAGGCGGTGAGCACCTGCTCCTCTGCCACTGCGGTTCCTGCCACTTCCGGGGGAAGGGGTGAGTTGGGGCCGGAGCCTCCTCTTCCTGGGGGGCTCCTTGGTGTGCAGCCCCTCTTTGGGCCTCTGTGCACGTCCTGGCTCCTCTGCCCCTCAGCAGCCCAGCTCCTACCTCCTCCTGCGTCCCGAGGGGAAGCCAGGTGAGCCTCACAGCCTATAGGTGTCTCCAGGGGCCTCTCTCCTCAGAAGGAACTTGGGGGCCGGGCCAGGACCTCACGCCAAACCTCTAGCCAGGTGAGGAAAGGAACGTTGGTTCTCCTAGGTATCGGCAGGCACCCATGTCCAGGTCACCTAGGCCAATCTGACCACTCCTATCGGTGCCCATGAAGAACCAGGTACGTCCTGGTTCCAGGTCCACTGCCCAGGTCTTGGGGACAAGTACTTATGAGCGGCTACTGTGTGCCAGCCATCACCTGCCTGCAGCTTTCACCGGCCTCTCTTCAAATGCCCATCCCTGGGCCTCCTTCTTGCCCAGAGGGAGAGAAGCTGGAGCCCACAGGCCTGGCTCCCACCCAGGCTCTGCCCAGACCCCTGGAGAGTTTTGGGCAAGTCCTCTCCCCTCTATGGGCCCCAGTACTCTGTAAATTGGGAGCTGGGGTGGCAGGCGAGGAGATCTCTGAGGACCCTTTCCAGGAGTCTAACATTGCAAAGATCGCTAAAGGGCCAGGAGAAGATCACACTCAGGATCTCCCTGCCCCGGGGGGCGAAAAGGGCTGAAGCAGAGGCTATCTCCCCCAGACCATAGTGGACGGCTTGGGGGTGGGGGGAGCACCAGGATGGGCCACAACCCCTCATCCGTTAAGGCTCTGGCACGCGAGTGGGCAGGCCCAGGGCTCTGGGGCAGAATGGCTTGTGGGTACTCAGCTCACGCACCTGTGTGTACTCGGAGCCTCGCTTCTCCCTCTAGAGAGTGGGGGTAACATCTCAGGTTATTTGAAGGATTCGGCGAGTATGTTTGTAAAGTGCTTATCACAGGAGAAAGCACATGACACATGGGAGCTATTGTTTTTCAAGCTGTTTTTTTTTTCTTTAAAAAAATTGTTTTAATTGATTCTAGAGAGAGGGGAAGGGAGAGAGAAAGAGAGGGAGAGAAACATTGATGTGAAAGAGAAACATTGATCGGTTGCCTCTCAGTCGCACCCTGGCCGGGGACTAAACCCACACCCTAGGTATGTAGGCCTTTCTGTTTACAAGATGAGGCTCCTGTAAAACCGACTGAGCCAGACTGGCTGGGGCGGACCTGTTGGTGTCCTCATTATTATTGAAGTGGCTGTTACTGTTCTTGGGGCTGTGGCAGGAACTCAAAAAGAATTTGGAGGCTTTGGGGAGAAATAAATGGTAAATAATTATTCAAGAGTCTTAGGGCTTGCAAACTGGAAAGACAAGCAATACCCAGACTGTTCCAGAGAAGAAAGAAAAGCTGAGGGTTCTTATAGTAAAAAGTGCATTCTTGAGAAGAGACACTTCTGCATTCTCCGGATTGGGGCCAGATGGTAACCCTCCATGACTGCTGCTCAGAATACAGGATGTCACGTGATCTGGACGCACAGACTTCCTTTCCTTAGCCCTTCAGGGTGTACACAGAGGGTTATCTGCAGGTTTGATGAATATACAGGCATTGATGTTTGATGTAGGACTGGAACATTTCAAAGTTTAAATTTCCAGTAAAACAAGAATAGAATGAGGAATAGAATAGGGATGAGGAACTGAGGCATCATTTCCTCATGCCTCAACCTGCTTGAATTTAGTGATTTAGCGCCTTGGTAGAGTGACTCCATTTAATTTCTCACTCTGTTCCTCAGGGCCCAGGAAAAGTAAGCCAGCCCCATGGCAGAACATCCTGAAGTAAGCCTGGGTCCTGGAGATATCACAGGCTGGAGTGGGGAGATGCAGGTCTGGCTTTGGTCCAGGAGCTGGGCTCTGCACCCTTATTTCCAGAGGGCATTGGCCTGGGTCAGGAAGAAGGGCTGGGGACAGGATGGCCCCCCTAGTGCAGCTCCCAACCTGCAAGGTGACCTCTGGCAAAGGGCTCCCCTTTTCTGAGCCCCAGCAGCCCGGTTCGTCGGGCTTCCTGCTTGGTGGCCCCTGCTCTGTGGTTGAACGTGCTGGCAAGTGGCCAAGAAGGGCCAGGGGTGGGCATGGGGCTGGGGTGCAGGAAGCAGGTGGAAGTGGATCCCAGAGGTGCAGGAAGCCTTGAACCCAGCCTTGGCCCTCCCCACTGCCCCCACTACCTGGTGGGCCTTTTCTCTACAGCCTGGAAGCTGGACCTTGTTCCACCCCCTTTTGTTTTAATTAAAAACAAAGTGGTGGTAACTTATTAAATTGGTCCAGTGCAAACAACCTGGAAGTTTATGAAGCAAAAAGTCAAGGCAGCACCCACCCGTTCCACCTGGAGTCTGCTCCCCAGAGGAAACTACTGCTAGTAATCTTCGTAGATTCTTCTAGATGCCCTCTGGGTGCATTGACAAACATTAAACCATCGACAGTTATATTCTTAAAAGGAATCGTGTTATATATGCAGTTTCTTTTTGATAAGTTAAAAATAAATTTTTAGTCCTGGCTGGTGTGACTCAGTAGACTGAATGCCAGCCTGTGAACCGAAAGGTCGCTGGTTCGATTCCTTTGATTCCTAGTCAGGGAACATAACTGGGTTGTGAGCCAGGTTCCCGAGTTGGGGGCATGTGAGAAGCAACTGATTAATGTATCTCTTGCACATCGATGCTTCTCTTCCTTTCTTTCTCCCTCCCCTCCCCTCTCTCTAAAAATAAATAAATAGAATCTTAAAGAGTATATAAATAAATGTTTTAATTAAAAAATAAATTTTTATTTTTAAAAAAGATTTTATTTATTTATATTTAGAAAAAGGGGAGGAAAGAAAAGAGTGAGAGAAACATCAGTGTGTGGTTGTCTCTCTTGCGCCCCCTTACTGGGGACCTGGCCTGCAACCCAGGCATGTGCCCTGATGGGAATCGAACTGGCCATGCTTTGGTTTGTAGGCTGGCACTCAATCCACTGAACCACGCCATCGAGGGCAAAAAGTAAATCTTTAAATGCAAAAACATTTGTGTAACCATTATTAAAAATTCGGGGGGAATACAGTTAAGCCAAAAGGGAAAAAAAGCAGTCCATAGTCTCATCATTCCAGAAAGAACCACTGTTAACACTTTAATCACCATGGTAGGCAAAAGGCATTTTCTTATTCTCATCTACCTTTCCTTTTTTTCCTATCTTCTTAAATACTGTGCCACGCACAGATGACCAGACCCTACCAGAAATTCGCACCCCCGTGTTACCTCCCTGCCTCCCCAATGGAGACGACAGTGTTCTTGACTTTTGCTTTTAAAACTTTAATCACTCTGATAGACGAAAGCTATCTTTCGTCCCTGGCTATGAGAGGTGGCCTACTGCCTGCAACACGCACAAACAATATATCGTGTTGTTCATTTGTCTTCTGAGACTTGCCTTTTTCACTCCTTATGTATCTAAGATTCATCCCTGTAATTCTAGCTCATTTCCTCCTGCTATTTAATATTTCACACTGTGAACATACCATCATGTTAGAAATTCCATTCTCCTGTTGATAAATGGGCTGTTTCCAGTTAAGTTTTTCTTTCTTTTTTTTTTTAAGCGAGGCTGCTTTGAATTTCGTTGTGTACATGTTCAAAAACTTCTCCAGGGTCCATGCGCAGGAAGGGGATACACGTTTTCATATCTTTGTTTTCCCGAGGGATTATAGAGATGCCATTCTTCAACTTGCTTCTTTCACGTCAACATCCTGTTAAATATCCTGGCAGACTCTTCTGTCGGTACATACCGAGCCGCCTCACTCAGTTTATTTAGCAAGGCCTGACCTTTGTTTATTTCACCAGGCCCCTATCACGGCTCCTGGATATTTCTCACCATCTCATAAAATGATAAGATGAATACCCTGAAAATCGTAAGAAGTATTTTTTAATTCCAGAGGTGGGCAGGGGAGAGGTAAGTAATGTGCCAAGGCCACATAGCTAGAGAAGGCAGGGCTGGACTTGAATTGGAGGTGGACCCTGAGTTCACTCAGGGTGACTGAGTAACCCTGCGTGCAGGGCTCTGGAGGGCCTGGGTGGGGGTGCCCAGGGAAAAACCCAAGTGCTTTCAAGCGTAGTGTGCTCTGGGACTCAGTTTCCCCATTCCAGTCATGGTGACAATAAAGCGAAATAAAAGTGGGCATGATCCTCACCGAACGGCTCTGGAAGGCTGTTATTTTTATTGCTACTACAGGGCCCAGAGGAGTAAGCGAGACTCTCAAGTAGCCCTAGCCCAGGGTCACTTGCCTCTACCTCCAACCCCTTCCCGTCACAGCCGGGGGGGCGGGGCCAGCCATCCGCGGCCCCCGCCCCCAGGCTCTGCCCGCCTCCCAGGCCTGGGAGGGAGGTGGGATCTGCGGCGCTAGGACCCAGCGGGCCAGGGCTGCAGCGGGGCCTGGACGGCTGGAGGAACGCGGACCCCGCTCTCAGCTCCCGGCACCATGTGAGGGGGCTCAGGGGCCACGGGGGGCCGGGTGCTCCCCGGGGGAGGTGAGCAGGCGCTTCGCGGGGGCGGGCAGCGGGGGTTGGGGCGCTGCCTGAGCCCGGGCGGGGGGGGGGGAGGAGGTTGGGAGCCTCTGGGGATGGGGAGTGATGATGTGGGCGCCCCAGGGGCTGCCCTAGACCCCCTTTTTAGGCAACCGGGACGGGAGATCCTGGTCCTCGTGCCCAAGGGCTGTCGCGGGGTTTGCGGGGGCCTACCTGCCTCTGTCTACACTGTTGGAGCTCGGGGACCCGGCCGCTCTTGTACCACCCTTTTTTTTCCTAGCTGGGGCTAGGACTCCGGACCTCCGGAGTGCGGGAGTTGGTGGGGTCAGCGCAGTGGGGATACACAGGGTGAGTCGCCCCCACCCCGAGCGGACCCATGGGCTTGGCGATCCCCATTTGGGAATTAGGTACCTCCCTCCCCCTTCTCTCAGGAGGCTTCCTCCCGCGCCGCTTGTGGGGGCGTCCCGACCCTGCAGGAGGAATCCCCGGGCTGAGGGAGGCAAAGCCCCTAAACAGAGGGCAAGGTGTGCCACCCTCTCCTTACCTCTCGCACTCAGCCCAACTGCAGGGCCCGCTTTGGGCATGACTCCACACCCCTGGCCCGGTGCTCTGAGCCTCGGTCTCCCCAGCCTGAGCAAGTCACTCCCCAACAGGCCTGCCTCGTGTGCCAGGCCAGGGGGTGGGCACATACTTGGGGCCTCTGGCCCCCCACATTCCAGCCCTGGGGTATCCTTGAGGGAGATCCCGTTAACCTCAGCCCTGGGCTGCCCTACAAACAAGTCCCCCCAGCAGGCTCTGGACAGCCCTGCAAGGCACTTTGCCTCTCTGAACCTCAGTCTCCTCATCTGTGATATGGGGAGTAAGAGCCCCTACCATGCAGTGTTGCCGGGAGGATCGAGTGAGTGGGTGATGCTCAGTTGGCACACACTTCTGATAGGAGTGAAGTTGTTGGGCTAGGGGTCAGAGAAGGAGGGAATGTTTTCGCTGCCCAACTCCATGAGGCAGGCCTTGAACAATGAATTACAGCAAGAATAACAGCTATTGCCACTGACCTAGTACGTGCAAACCCTGTGCCTTCCTTGCCAGACGGGCTTGAATCCTTCCAACTTCCCCTGAAGTTACCTACTCTCATTACTCCCATTTCACAGATGAGGAAACTGAGGCTGAGGGAGGTCCATGGCTTGCCCAAGGCCCCTCAGCCAGTAAGTGGTGGAACCGGGATTCGCACTTGAACCTGAAATGCTGCACTGACCATGGCCTTCTCAAGAGCAGGACTGTGACGGGACTGACAAGGGGGACCGACCAGGGGAACCCTGGTCCCGGCTGAGGCCACCGCTCAGGCCAAGGTGGGAAAGTCGGGGGTGGGCCTGGGAACTGGAGTGCGCTGGAGTGTCTGGAGCGAGGGGCATCTGGAGGAAAGAGTAGTGACGACAGAGGCTCAGCTCAGTTGCTGGCCCAGCTGCACTGGCAAGGGCCTGGAATGCCAAAGGCGTCAGGACTGATGGGGGCGATCCTGGAATTGTGGACTCTTGTAATTTGCGCTGATGGGCTGTGCGTCCAAAGACAGGCCACTCTTCCCTTGTGATGAGCCTCAGTTTTCGGATCTGTATCCGGTGAGAATCCCAGGGCCTCCCTGACTGCCTGTGAGGGCGGGCCAGGGCGAAATCTGAAACCTGGTTGGGAGGCAAGGGGCGGGGCTCGGAACGAGTGGGGACCAGGCCTGGGTAGTGGGCGGAGTCAGGACCTAACCAGTCAGGAGCGGCATATGGGGGAAGCCTTCTCTGGCCTGAGGTTCTCTGGCTATTCCCGGTGGCAGTGTAGGAGTAAACAGCAGCTAGGTCAGGGGGCGGAGATGGTAGCGGCAGCTGGGAGGTCGCTGAGAAGGGAGGACAGAGCTGGGGAGCCCCGGGCCCCAGCTTCTCCCTTTGCGTTCTCCCAACCTTAGTGGCCTCTTGGCTTGAATCTGCTGGAGACGGCTGGACACAAGTGCTTGTTTCCATTTGACAGGTGGGGAAACTGAGATCTGGTCAGGAGCTGGGTCCTGGGAGGATGGGTGCCGGTCGGGGAGCCAGGAGCAGATCTGGGCTTGCCCTCTCACAGCAAGGCCACCGGGGCTGGGACAGGGAGGAAGGGCTGTCTGGGGCACATTAGACTGCATTGTCCCCTAAGGATCCCTCACACCCTCTGAGGGAGGGGCTGTGATTAGAACCTATTGAGAGATGAGACTGTGTGCCCTTAGTCCCTAAGATCTTACTTGGAAATTACTGAAGTCATTCAGCCATCCTCCTGTACCCATCTCCAGGAGGCACAGCAGAGACTGTGGTGGGGACTTGCGGGGGCTTAGCCTTGTGTGGAGGTGACACTTCGGGGAAGTTCCTGCCTGGCCCCTGCAGGTTTGAGGGTTGAGTGGGTGTGAGCAGGGTGCAGGAAGGCAGGGTTTCTCAGACATTTTGTGTAAGACCTGGAAGGGTACAGGTGCAGAGAACGTTGGGGACCTACAAAGAATGTTGCTTTATTCCAGGTCCACAGGGACCTAAAGCAGGGTTTCAAGTAGCCGTGGGAATGGGGTTCCTGCTGGGTGGGGGGCAGGCCCCCCAGCATGGGAACCAGCTGCCTAGAAGAGCCAGGGTGTGGGGCAGCCCCTGCTGAGAGCACCGAGGGGAAGAGAGCAAGGAGCAGGGAGAGAATAAGGGTTCTGCTACCACCTGGCTCTGTGACCTCAGCTTTCTGCTCTTTCTGGGCCTCCGTGTCTCCATCTGCAAAATATACAGCCCTGAGCCTTGAAGTCATGGGTGGGAGAAGAGCTGGCAGGGGTGGGGAGGGCAGAGTCTTTGATAAGCTGGACCTATGGGAGGGCACACAGACCATAACCCTTTCTGTGACTTGCAGGTGTGAGCCCACATCCCTGCCCCCTGGGCCACCTGCAGGACGCTGGCCCCTGCCCCTCAGCAGATGCCAGAGAGAGATGAGTAGCAACAAAGTAAGTCCTCCTTCATTTCTGGTCCCCATCTCAGCCTTTTACTTCCTTCAGTGAGATGAGCTTCTACAGACCAGCTTCTGACCCAAGCCACAAGTCTCCCTTCCTTGCCGAGAAGCGGCTGGTGCCTGGCAGGCCCTGGGTGGAGCCCTGCTGTACCACTGATCCGTGTGGCTTTGGGCAAGCTCCTGCCTCCCTGGGCCCGGGTCCAAGAAAGCAACGTGCTGTGCAGGAAGGGTGGGGTGGGAAGGTAGAGGTGAGTGGGAGTCTGGAGAAGGAGGCAGAAGTTGGTCCAAGATGACAGAATGCTGTGAGCATCCCTCTGAGGATGACAGGATTCCCCATCATCCACTCATTCATGCTTTCCTGAGCACCTGCTATATACCTTGTCCTGCACCCCCTCTTCCTAGAATCCACAGCAGCACAGCCTTGGCAGAGCCTGAGGGTTGGGAGCTGGGTGATGTGGGTGCATCAGTCTGGGTCCTGTTGGCAGAGAGAAAACACACAATAATTTGAACAGGGGAAGCTTAATGTAAAGAGTTATTAACGATAGTTGGGCTTTGGAATACCGAGGGATTGGAACTCTAAGGAACGAGGGAATTGTAGTATAAGGAGCAGCCACCAGCGCCAGGTCAGAGGTCCAGGCCTTGCTGGAGAGGGCAGGGCTTTGGTCCACTGGAGGGCAGAGAACTGTGGTGCTGTACTGGTGAAAGCAGCTGTAAATCCACCCTCCAGGCCACAGGGAAGGCTGTTTCAGGAGATAATTCCCCAGAGGCACGGGCCCTCCATACAGAACTGCTCCAAGGAGGGAAGCAGAGGGCACTGGTTGTTGCAGGTGGTTGAGGGTCCTGGTTGAGCTCAACTCGGGAGAAGCTGTGATCGCAGCAGGAGCCTGAGGCACTGTGTTCCAGAACCGCCTGAAGGTGGGCGCTGGAGGAATCTGCTGAGTGCAGCTGGCTGCTGGCCACTGGGCACTAGAGTTGAGCATGGGCTGAAGAAGCCGTGTGCACTGTGGGAGCAAGTGCCCCAGAACCAGATGCAAAGCCCACCAGAGTCAGGAAGCGAAGGCCTTGCCTTCTACAGTGTCTCCCACGCTCTCTACTGACAAAACTTAATATGCAGTGAGCTGGCGAGGAAAAACAAGGAAAGGGTCCAGATCCATTTCTGCAGAGCTGGCAAAAAGGGTGAACTTGGACCCTGGCTGGTGTGGCTCAGTGGATTGAGGGCCAGCCTGCAAACTGAAAGATCGCTGGTTCAATTCCCAGTCAGGGCTCTTGCCTGGGTTGTGGGCCAAATCCCTGGTTGGGGGTGTGCAAGAGGCAACCGATGTATCTCTCGCACATCCATGTTTCTCTTCCTTTCTTTCTCCCTTCTTCCCCTCTCTAAAAATAAATAAAATCTTTTAAAAGGTGGGGAGGACTTGGAGCTGAGAAACAATACATGGATAACCAGCACAGCGGGCTCAGCACCAGGAGCCAGGGCCCCCAGGTCTCGGCTAGCCTTGCAGACCCTGTGCACACACCCCCCAGTGGGCAATTTGGGTGTCACTTTCCCCGCCCTGTCAGCCACATGGTGGCACAAAGACTACCCAAGCAGCCCAGTGTCTGAACAGATCCACGCCCTCTCCCTCCAGGTTCCCAAGCATCCTTCCATCTGTAGGAGGGACCCTTTGGCGCCCACATACAATTCAGTCCAGCAGACCTGCCTCTGAGAACCCTTTGTGCTCCAGTCCTCACCCACCCTGAGAGCTGGGATAATGGTGGGGAGCGAGGCTAACCCAGTCCCCGCCTCGGAACTCATGGTGGTGTGATCAGTGCTCAGAAGGATGGAGGAGGCCTTCCTGGAGGAGGCAGTGTCTGAACTGGTTTGGGATCGGGAGCAGGAGTTAGCCAGGGGTTGTAGGTGGTAAGGAGGTGGGGCACCAAGTCCGCACGGCCCCTGGGCCCTCACCAGCCTCTCCCCTCTCCAGGAGCAGCGGTCAGCAGTGTTCGTGATGACCCTCTTCGCTCTCATCACCATCCTCATCCTCTACAGCTCCAACAGTGCCAATGAGGTCTTCCACTATGGCTCCCTGCGAGGCTTCAGTCGCCGGCCCATCAACCTCAGGAAGTGGAGCATTGCTGATGGCTATGTCCCCATCCTTGGCAACAAGGTAGGGCAGCCACTTTGGGGAGCTGCCTGGTGTCTGATCCTCCCCATTGCCCTCCACCACTGCTCCAGCTTTTTTTCCTCTCCATCCCTCCTAAAGGAAAGGGTGGCCCCAGGAGTCGAGGCCCCAGCTCCCAGTGCCTTCAGCCCTGTTTTTGCTGTGTGACCTTGGACAAGAGCTCTGCCCTGGTGTGGGCCTCAGTTCTTCCCAAGGTCCCACCCTTTGCACTAAAACCCTACCATCTCCTTGGTCGGAAATCTTGGGAAAGATACTTGGTTGTCTCTGACTTCTGTCTCTGCTGGGGAGTCCACACCGGGTTCAGGAGGGCCCCGCCGTACAGACGACACAAAAATAGCCCCTGCTCCCGCCCCCACTGCATTTTCTTCTAGCGGTTTACTCACCGCCCACATAATGTTGCCTTTTACTTGTTCATGTCTCCCTGACCATGAGTTCTTAAGGCAGGAGTGGAATCTCTTTTGCTCATTGCTCTGTCCTGAGTACTTGACCATTAGTCTGCTTACTATAAATATTTGTTGAATGTTGAACAAATGGGCTTTAGTTTCTCTGTCCTTAGAATGGGCATAATTAGCCCTGGCTAGTGTGGCTCAGTGGATTGTCAGCCTGCGAACCAAAAGGTCACTGGTTTGATTCCCAGTCAGGGCACATGCCTGGGTTGTGGGCCAGGTCCCCAGTTGGGGGCATACAAGAGGCAACCACACATTGATTTTTCTCTCCCTCTTTTTCTCCTGCCCTTCCCCTCTCTCTAAAAATAAATATATAAAACCTTAAAAATAAATAAAGGGGCCATAATTATTTTGGCCTCTTGGAGGCCTGAATGTACAGAGCACAAAGCCTGCCACAAGTGATTGTGACAGTGTTAACTTTCCTTGTCCCCCCAGACGCTGCCTTCCCGGTGTCACCAGTGCGTGGTCATCACCAGCTCCAGCCACCTCCTGGGCACCAAGCTGGGTCCCGAGATTGAACGGGCCGAGTGCACAATCCGCATGAATGACGCGCCCACCACGGGCTACTCGGCAGATGTGGGCAACAAGACCACTTTCCGCGTAGTGGCCCATTCCAGTGTCTTCCGTGTGCTGCGGAGGCCCCAGGAGTTCGTCAACCGGACCCCCGAAACCATATTCATCTTCTGGGGCCCCCCGAACAAGATGCAGAAGCCCCAGGGCAGCCTTGTGCGGGTCATCCAGAGGGCAGGCCTGGTGTTCCCCAACATGGAGGCCTACGCCGTCTCTCCCGGCCGCATGCGCCAATTTGACGACCTCTTCCGGGGTGAGACAGGCAAGGACAGGTACCAGTCTCCTGCCTGCCCCCTCTGGCCAGCCCTCTGCTCTTTAGCATGTTCTGCACAGTGGGCCTGTTGCTCCCAGCATGCACTTTGAGGGTGTGGTCACATGCCAACCTCTGGTTAGGTCTCCTGGGGGAATACTCTTAATGTCCAGCTTTTAGCATGAGTCATTTCCAACATGCACTGCCTGGCCTCATCTTCCCTAGGGGGCTTCCTCCCAGCATGCATTGCCCTGAGAGAAGGAGGGCTCCCAGCATGCTCCGCTCTAAGGTTGCCCAGTCATTTCCAGCATCTTTCTAGGAGAGCTCCCTCTAGTGCACCTCCTGGCACCTCTCGCTTTAAGTGCACTGTTGGCTCCCAGCATTAAGTACACGTCATCTCCAGCCCTGGTCTGGAAAAGCTAGGCCTGTGCCATCCAATGGAAATAAAATGCAAGCCACATGCGTAATTTTAAGTTTTTATAGTAGCCGCATTAAAAAAATAAAGAGAAAGAGCTGAAGTTATTTTTAATATATTTTATTAACTCAGTATGTCCAACATATGGATCCTATACATATTTGTTTGATTTATACCTAAATATTTAAAGTTTGGGGGCTACTGTAAATGGTATTTTTTGGTTCCCAATTATTCGTCGTTAGTATTTAGCAATATGACTTTTGTGTAGTGACTGTATATCCTGTAATCTTGCTGAATTGACTTTTTGGTTCTAGGAGATTTTAGTAGATTCTTTGGGATTTTTCTGTGCAGGTGATTCTGTAAGGACATGCAAGGAAGGACAGCTTTATTCCTTTCATATCTGTACATCTCATTTCTGTTTCTTGCCTTATTGCACTGGCTAGGAACTTTCAGTACAATGTGGAATTGTATTGGAAGTGGCAGCGGTAGACATCTTTGCCTTGGTCCTGGTCTTAGGAGGGAAGCACTCAGTCTTTGATCATTAAATATGAGGTTAGCTATCGGTTTTTGTAGCTTCCCTGTATCAGGTTGAGGAGATTCCCTTTGCTTCTTAGTTTGCTAAGAGTTTTTATCAGGACTGGATATTGCATTTTATCCAATGTTTTCCTACCTCAATTAATATGTGGTTTTTTAAAGACTATTAATATGGTGGATTATCTTGATTGATTTTTAAATGTTGAGTTAGCCTTGTGTTTCTGCAATAAACTCCAGTTCATTGTGCTGTATTGTTATTTTTATATATTGATGGGTATGATTTGCTAGTACTTTGAGGTTTTTGTATCTGTGTTTGTGAGAGACGGCGGGTGGTCTCTGGTCTGTTTTGTCCTGTCTTTGCCTGGTTTTGCTATCAGGGTAATGCCGGCCTCACCAAGTGAATTGGGAAGTATTTCCTCTTCTTTCTGGAAGAGATTGTATAGAATTGGTGTTATTTTTTTCTTTAAATGTTTGGTAGAATTTGCTGGTGAAACTCTCTGGGCTTGGAGAGTCTTTTCCAGAAGATTTTAAACTATGGATTCACTTTCCTTAATCATCACAGAATATTCAGGTTATCTGTTTCATCTTGGGTGGGTTTGGTAGTTTGTAGTGTTTAAGAAATCGGCTGATTTCATCTAAGTTTTTGTGTACGTAGTTTTTTGTGGTTTTCTTAGTCTTTTAATGTTTATATGGTCTATGGTGAGATGCTGTCTTTTATTCTTGATCTTGGTAATTTGTGTCTTTTCTCTCTTCTTTTTCTGTCAGTCTTGTGAGAGATTTCTTTTCTGTTAAATTTTCAAAGAACCACCTTCAACCAAATATATCCCAGCTATTTTCAGTTCAACATGTAATCAATATAAAAAAAACGATCAGTGACATATTTTACATTCTTTGTTCACACTCTCCAAGAAATCCAACGTGTGTGTTCTATGCCGACACCGCGTCTCCACCCAGGCCTAGTGCTCACACACGCCTGCCTGTCCTACCTGTGGCCACCGCAGTGGACAGCACAGCTCCAGGCTCATAGCTGCTCTGCCGGTGCCTTGCTCTGCACCTGTCACTCCCAGCATGGCTGCGTCTGATAGGTCACCCGTAGGAGTTTGCTTCTAGCCTGGGCACAGCTGCTTCTAGCATGTTCTGCGGTCATGCCTGCTGCGGTGTGACGGTCTCCGCGAGAGTTTATTCCTGGCATACCCTTTTCCTACTCTTGCCCTCAAAGGAGCTGTCTCCACACCCCTCACCTCTGCCCAGACAAGCCCTCTGCCAGCAAACCCATGCTCCCCGCAGTGGGCTGGACAGGGGTGACTGAAGTGGGGGCAGTTCTCTGAAACCGGGGAGGGGAGACTACTCCCTGCCTGCCCGCCCTGCCCTGCCCGCCCCCTCATCATGCTTCCTCTCTGCCCCCAGGGAGAAGTCCCATTCGTGGCTGAGCACAGGCTGGTTCACCATGGTGATCGCGGTGGAGTTGTGTGACCACGTGCACGTCTACGGCATGGTGCCCCCCGACTACTGCAGGTGAGCCCCCCCAGGACAATGCCTAGTCACTGGCCCTGGGATGGAGCTGGGGGCCTGGGAACCTTGGCGGGGCGGCCTGTAAGGGTCTCTGTTTGATGGCATTCAGACTGCCCTGAGGAGGTCCAGGCTGCTCAGAGCTGCCTCAGGGGCCAGAGTCCAGAGTTTGTGTATTAGTAATAACTGTTGTTATTCCTATATGGAAAGCCCAAGAGGCACACTTGTGGTTTATTGAGTGGGGACCATGTCTCAAGCGTGACTATATTTATCATCTCATTCACTCCTCACAGTGATCCTAAGGGATAGGTATGTTATTATCCCCATTTCATAGATGAGGAAAACTGAGGAGGTGGTTCTGTGAGTGGCCAAAGGCCCCACAAACAGTAAAGAGTGGGGCCAGGCTCCAGAGCTCACAGTCCTTACCTCTACCCTACTCTGCCTTGGAGACAGGAAAAGGTCTACTGCTCTAAAAAAGAAAGTTAGTGGTGGAAAACTGAGGCTCAGGGATGGGTAGGGATTTCTGCCATTAAGGTCCTACAGCAGCTGGTCAGGGGCTGGAAAGGGCGAGGGCCCCGCCGGCAGCTGCCCTGCGCTCACAGCCCCCATCTGCTCTGCCCCAGCCAGCGGTCCCGCCTGCAGCGCATGCCCTACCACTACTATGAGCCCAAGGGGCCGGACGAGTGTGTCACCTACATCCAGAACGAACACAGCCGCAAGGGCAACCACCACCGCTTCATCACGGAGAAGAGGGTCTTCTCATCCTGGGCCCAGCTGTACGGGATCACCTTCTCCCATCCCTCGTGGACCTAGGCCGCCCTGCCCGTGGGGCCCTCACAAGACACACAGGAGAAGTGGCTCTCGGACAGCCATCTCCTGTCCAGTCAAGGCTGGCCAGAGTATCTTCTGGCCAATCAGGGCCTTGCAGAGGGTGTATCCTCCAGACAGTCAGGGCCTGGGGATATCTCTTGGCCAATCAGGGATTTGGACTTTTATGTGGCTAATCAGGGGTGTTGGGATTTCTCGTCCAGTCAGGGTCTGAGCATAGTCAATCAGGGTATTTCTGAGTAATTTGACGCCAAGGACATGTGCTTTCCCACGAGGCCTTGGTTCAGAGCCCCAGGATGGTTCCCGAATCATTCCCTGTTGTCTGGGACCATGGGGTCCTGTTCCAGGGACCTGTGAACTCTGTGTTGCCCCTCACTTCCCAGAGCCAGAAAGAGAGGTTGCATAGGGGGTCAGAGCTCTCTGGAGGCCAGGCCAGGGCATTTGTGGGCTTAAGGGGTTCCCGAAGTCGGGGGGCAGTGTCTGGGTCTTGGCTCTGTCCTGAGTGGCCTTGGACAAATCCCTTGTCCTCTTCTCTGGCACCCTTCTGCCCATGTCAGGTTCTAAGGTGGAGTCTTCGACCCCCTCACACCTTCCCCACTGGCTGCCTTGGGTCTGCCCTCCATAATACTAGACCCCTCCAGCGACAACCCCTTGCTGAGGGTCTCAGCTCTCTAGGGGTCTGGGGTTCCCTTCCCTACCTCCTCCTGGAGATGAGGGTATTTTTGTGCAAACTCCCCCAGGTCTGGGGGACTCTGATAGGAATGGCCCAGTTGCCATTAGCTTGGCTCTTAAAGAGCCAGGCCTCCTTTTCTGTTGTCCAGCATTGAGGCTTTCCACCTGTTGGAGGAGCCTTTGGGGCTGAGAGAGGGGGGACCCCAGCCAAACTGAAGTTTCTACCGGCCCCTTTGTCTGCAGCTGCTGGAATCATCCAAGAATCTCCCTCCTGCTGGGCCTGGAAAAGCTCTAGGGGGCTGGGAGTTGTGTTGCTTGGGTTCTATCTCTCCTCACTCTGTATCAGGCACTTTATGACTGGGCCTCAGGGGGTGGGTTTGCCCCCTGCTTCTCTGGAGCCTGGAAGGGAAGACCAGAGGGCTTCCTGGAGGAGGCTGTGGAATGGGAGGGGCCAGGTAGAGGAGGAGGCCAGCAGCAAGCCATTGCACACTGGGGTAAGGTGGGGTCTGGCGGCTCCCCCAGACTTGGTTTTGTAATGATTTGTACAGGAATAAATGCACCTAAGCTCCAGCTCCAGTTCCTGCGTCTTCTGATGGATTGAGCTGGGCCCATTCCGGTCCAGGGCTTTGGGCCTCCGTGGGACAGCGCCCACACCCTCCAGGTTAGGAGCCCACACACAAGCAGGGTGGCCAGCTTTTTTAGCTGGCCAGTGAGTCATGCATTTTGCAGCTTGGGGAGGGAGCTGGCAGCTCTGGGGGTTGGGGAGGTGTGGGGTTCCCAAGCCAAGCCCATCTGGCTTTTCCAGTCCTGCCTTCCCCTGCTTCTGTGACCTTGGGCAAGTCACTTCCCCTTGCAGAGCCCCAGTTTCAGGACCACACACTGCTGTCAAGGAGTTCAGGTTCCAGGGAGGGGTGAGGCCCCGTAACAGGTTCTGTCCCGGTCAGGCCACCACAAGAAGGAAATAAGGGCTACAAAGACGATAATACAGGTGCTGTGAGAAGGGCTTTTGAGTAGGTAACTTTCTTCTGAGACCTGGAAGAGGAGAAAGAGTCGTGCAGAGGCTGGGACAAGAGCTTTGGGGGTGCAGAATGACATCTCTGTCATAGAAAGCAGTTGCGGAAGGGGGAAGGAACAGGAGAGAAAACAAGGACAGGATTCAGGGGGAGAGGAGAAATGGCGGGGTCAGAGGTTGGCTCTAGGGCCTGGGGGTGCTGAGGGCAGGGAGCCAAAGTGTCCTGCAAGGCTGGGCAGGCAGGAGTCAGGCAGGGCTACAGCCCTGGGAGGGGCGCGTTGAGCTGGAGTTGAGTAAAAGGCCTTGTTTACAACCCAGGTTGGCAGGAGGAAGGGGGTCGAGACTCTGGGAGATTACAACCTGTTTAGGCAGATAAGATACCCTTGGGAGCAGAGGCCTAACAAAGGGTGACTGTGTGAGACAAGGGCAGGCGGCCTGCTAAGGGCCAGGAAAGAGCTCTCCCTGGGCTCTGGGCCAGCCCGGAATGGGGGGGCCACAGAGCTGGGAGCAGGGAAGGCGGCACTGCATTTATTTCCCAATTCACGTATACGTTCTCCTCGTGAGTAGCTGCCTGCCATGCTCTGTATTAGGTGCAATTGAAGAGGGAGGGAATGTCAGGTGAGAAGCATGGCCTGGACAATAGCCCAGTGTTGGGACCCACAGCCTCTCCAGTAGGCACGGAGGTGGCGACGGTGGGAGATGAGGCTGCTTGGGGCCAGATGCAGGGGGCAGGGCTCAATCCTTCTTGCTTGGAGAGGTCATCTTGCTTGGACAGCACAGGACAGGCAGCAGGCTGAGCTGCCACCGGGCCCATGGCCCCGGGCGCACTGGAAACAGTAATGGTGGTGATGGGCACGTCAGAGGGAGGGGGACTACTTGCAAAGTCATTTCATGGGGAGCCTGAGGCCTTGCGTGGAGATGGGAGCATGGAGTATGGCACACTCCAGCCCTGTGCAAAGGCTTCTGGGAATCTGCCTGCCCACTAGTGGGCATGAAGGGAGACCCAGTAGTGCATCAGGAGAAGGTGGACTGTGGGGGGCGGGGGGGACCCTGGGAAACTTAGGTCTAGCATCAGGAGGCAGGACTTTGATGGAGGATGCTGAAGGTAAGAGGCCTGGGGTCTAGTCCTCAGCCCCACCCACTCTTGCCCCCTCAGAAGGGACCCACAGGGACTGGTACACTCATTGTCCAAGTTACCATGTCATCACAGTCTTTTTTTGCTCTGAAATCATCTGCTCCCCACTGTGGCCAAGACCTCATTCAGGGTTTGGGGCCTCCTGCACGCCCGTGTATCCCTCTCTCCCCTGTGAGCCCCCCGCCCCTCCTTGGGGTTGGAGGCATCTCCCACCAGCTGCAAACCCAGCGTGTGCTTCCCGGAGTGGCCCCGCCCCAGCTGCCTCCTTGGATGCTCAGCAGCGCAGCCAGGCCCCGCCCGGGCAGCCCTCACCCAGGGCTGGAACCTCAGAGCGAGGCTGTCCCAGTTTCAGTCTCTGCTGCTGGCTCATTTTCAAGGCCAGGAATTCTTTCTTTAACCAGAATATTTTTAAAATGTTTTTTAATTGGTTTTATTTTATATGGTTATGTTTTTAGATATGTGTATTTTTATGTTATAACTTAAACCATGCAGATGATACATGATAAAAAGAGAGGGCATTGCCCAGTCCTATTCCCTGTTAATAGTCTGGTGTATAATCTTGTAGATTTTTCCTCCACGCAGTTTTTTCCTTCCCTCTTTCCTTCTCTCTCTTCCTTCCCTCCCACCCTCCTCCCTCCCTGCCTCTCTTCTCTCCCTCCTTTTTTTCTTTCTTTACGTTAGAGCTGAGGAAGAAAAATCCTGAAACTTTAATATGCCAAGCTTGGTGAGAAATGTATAGGTCACATGCAAATGAAATAATTAAAACAGGATAGGTTTTCCTGCCATTTTTACAATTTCTACTTTATAATTTTGCTTTCTTTCTTTTTTTAAATCCTCACCGAAGGATATATTGATGGATTTACATAGAGAAACATCAGTCAGTTGCCCCTGTAGGTGCCGTAACCAGGGATCAAACCCGAAATCTTTTGGCGCACCGAGTGACACGCCAATTAACAGCCACCCGGCCAGGGAGTTTTTGTAATTTTTAAATGTATTATTATTATCATTTAAGATTTTATTTATTTATCTTCAGAGGGGAAGGGAAGGAGAGAGGGAGAGAAATATTAGTGTGTGGTTGCCTCTTGTGTGTCCCCTGCTGGGAACTGGCCTGCAACCCAGGCATGTGCCCCTACTGGGAATCAAACCGGCAACCCCTTGCTTCACAGGCCCACACTCGATCCACTGAGCTACACCAGCCAGGGCATACATTTATTATTTTTTATTGCGCTAAAAGAACACATCAGATTTACCAGTTAACCTTTTTTAAGTGCATGGGTCAGTACTGTTGAGTAGCTGTGCGTTGTTACAGAACAGGTCCCTAGAGCTTTTTTTCATTTTGCAGATCTGAAACCATTTCCTCATTAAACAACAGCCCTCGTTCCCCCTGCCCCGCAGCCCTTGGTGGCCACCATTCCGCTTACTTTTCCTATGAATTTGAGTACTTCAGATGCCTCGTGTGAGTGGAATCGTACAGTCCTTGTCTCTTTGTGACTGGCTTACTTCATTTAGCATGTTGTCCTCAAGGTACACCCGTGTGGAAAGTGTTTTATATGTAAAGGAATAGATGCTTGTTGTCCGTAACAGAAGAGCACGGGGAAGCTTTTAAGGAGGATCCCCACCTCCACCTGGGGGATCCTGTGCCCGCAGCCGCCCTCTTGGTTCTGCTTCCCTGCATCTTTGAGATGCCACCAATTAGATTACAGGGCAATTTCAGAGATATTGAAGTGCAAAGGCAAAACATTGAGGAGTAGATTTTACACGCACGTCCTTGCGTGTGTAGAAATGCGGAAGGTGGGAGAAGGCTGGTGCAGCGGCCCCGGCCCTCGCAGCTCAGTGGGTTGGAGCGCCGTCCTGTAAACTGGAAGGTCTCGGGTTTGATTTCTGAACGGCTTGTTTGACAGGTAACTGTTTGATATATCTCTCCCTCTCTCTATAGATGTATTCAGATGAGGGTTAGAAAAATAAATATAATAAAAGACTGGTGCAACTGGTCTTTTTGCTCGTTTCTCTCATGCCCCGTCTCCCGCCCCCAGCCACACAGACCCCTGACTTCCTTCCTCACGCCCACTCTGAGGCCATCACCACCTCTCCCCGCCACCTGGCTGCACCACGGCCCTTCCTGTCAGTCAGTCCCCACTGGCACTGGAAAACCATCCTGTACACGTTTGGTGCCCACGTATGGGGTTCCTGGAGGCGAAGGGCACATATAAAATTTTTATTGACTTCATCAGTTTGCTTTCCCCACAGATGTTGCCATTGTGCACAGACACTTACAGCCTTAGAGAGGGCCTTTCAAGCAATTTCTAAGGCAGACCCTCTGACCTATCACCCACTCCTCCCGCAGATGGGGAGACTAAGGTCCCAGGGAGTAAGGACCTTGTCTGATGTCACAAGTGGCAGAGCTGGGACTAGATCCAGGCCTCCTGGTGTCCAGGCTGCTGTTGTTGCTGAGAAACTACCCACTTAAAGTGGTCTCACTCCCTGGGTAGTCTCATTCTCTTGCTCAAATACCTTCCATGGCTCCCTAGTATCTCCACAACAAATTCTAAATTTAACCCATTCCACCATCTGGGGCTGCTGCCTTCAAGGTTGTGACATGGTTCAGTGGTTAAATGCATGAATTCTGAAGGTGCATGGTCCTGCGCTCTGCTCCATTATTGAGCACCTCCTGCTGCTTTGTTGGTCTCCATGGTTACACACATCGCTTTCTACTGGGGACCTCAGGCAAGCTAGTTGACAGGTGTGAACCTCACGTTCCTCCATGTGCCAGGATTCACAGACATGCCTGAGACCAGTGTTCTTTCTGCCCAGCACCTGGCACGCAGTGAGCGCTCATCACCGGGAGCTGTTCTTATCAGGATCCTCGGATCCCCATCTGGGTACAGCTTCCAGAATGTCCCACATCCTCAGGCTTGTCTCATTGGGAGCTGCCTGGCAGCTCCACGGGGCAGGGCTGGTTATTTACAGTCTACTACACAACCACCGGCCGGGAGAGAGGAGTTCTTGGAACCCCTTCTGGAAAGGGAGGAGGAATTCCAGGTGGACGCTGGTCAGGGGCCTCTGGGCAGAATCTGAGGATGGGCAGAGGGACTGGCCTGGCCAGGAAAGTCCCCAGAGACCATGCTTGAGTCCTCTCTATTCCCGGTCTGGCCTCTCCCTGCCACCAATTTGCTGTGAGATTTTGTGCAAAGCACCTCTCCTCTCCGGGCCTCAGTTTCCCCAGCTGTCACATGGGAAGCCCTGTCCTGTCCCCCTGGAGTGATGTGGGCATAGCGGAGGTAATGCAGGAGTGGAAAACCCTCGGAGGAGGATGGTAAAGGGCCGTCTGCGGGTGCAGGACCCCAGTCTTGTTCTGGTTTCCCATCAGGGCTCCGCTCCGACTCCAGCCCCCTCCCCCTCCTTTCCCCGTCTGCTCTCCCTCCCTCCTCCCTCCTGCCACACGGAGCTGGCTCCCGGCATGCCGCGCGCGCGCTGCTGACAGCCTTATAAATAGTCGCCTTTGCGGGGCGGGTGGTTGGCCAGGACGGGCAGGGCACGCACTGGCCCCAGCGCCCACCTGCACCCGACCCCCAGGTCAGTGTGTGCCTGTGTGTATGTCCGTGCTCAGTGCTCGGGATGGGAGCGCCTCTGCTGCAGCGGGGAAGCTACACGCCCCTGGGGAAAGAGAGAGAGAGAGAGAGAGAGAGAGAGAGAGCGCGCGCGTCTGCGCGCGCGCGCCCCAGGGTATCCTTGGGATTCCTGCGGCTGTGTGTGTGTCCACGGTTGTGATCTGTGTGCGCTCGCTTGTCTGTGCTCCCTGGCTCCATTCTGGGTATTTGTGCCGCACTCTGTGTGCCTTCGTGGGTGTGTGTGGGTGTGTTGCAGTCCCTCCCATCCTCTTACACAGTCACCCCTTTGTCCTAGCCGTACTCCTGGGGCTCCAGGTTCCTGCCCTTGGCTTGTCCCAGCTGGGGCCCTGGGAGGGGAGGCTGTGGCCTGACTCCCTGCACTGAAGGGCCTGGGCGGGGCAGGCCATGTGATTGGAGGAGCTATCCTGTCGCATCATTTTGAGTACCTGGGGGGACAGGAGGCCCCCTGGGCATTTGGGCCCCCTGCCTCCACCCTCTGAAAGGGCAGGGGCTCTGTGGGAGCCCTGCTGGCTGCACACACCCTTCCCTGGGCACTGCTCAGCTACCCACCCAGGACTTTTCACCCAGGGCCTGGGGTATAGACCCAGAGAGGGGATACCAGCTGCCCAAGGTCATAGAGCCAAGTGATAGACTTGGGTTTGAACCCTAGTTGGTTGCCAGCCACTAAAAGATTGCCCTTGGTCAGGAGATGGGAGACCTGGGTCTTGCCTTGGCCTTGCGTGGTGATTAAGGTGAAGTCTCTGTCCCTTGAGCCTCAGCTCCTCACACCCCTCCCAGACCACCCAGTTATACTGAGTCACTGAAGCCCTGATCCAGGGGCCTTATAAGGCCTGGTTGCTGGAGCCCGTAACCTAACTCCATCCCGGACCCCTGGCCTCTGTGAGGCCTCCTCACCACCCCTCCCAGGTTATTTTGGACCAAGGAGGTGGCAGGTGCCAGCAGGACAGTGGGGCTTAGGTCACTGGGAGGGGGTGGGGCAGAATAGGGTCCAGGCTACTCCTCTGGTCACTGCAGGCTGTTCCTGGCCTGGGGACCCTCCCCCTCCCCTACCAGCTGCTGAGCAGTATTGGCAGCTACTGCCCTTCCTTAAGCACACTCAGCAGGAAAGAGTCTATAACTCATGCCCCACAAGCAGCTGCTTAAGGACCTACTGGGTGCTGGGCTCAGATCAGCAGAAAATGCAGCCCTAGGTTTGACCGGAGCCAGGCCCTGGAACAAGTCTCTCCCCTCCAAGCCTCAGTTCCCTCCTAAGATGGCTGCAAGGATGCCGTGAGGCCCCCACACTGGGATCAGCTCTGGGCCTACACCACAACAGAGAGTTCCAGTACAGCGTGGCTTGTGTGACACCAGGGGAAGTTCAGAGGAGGCACTTGCCAGTGTAGGAGTAGAGGGCAGAACCCAGGAAGGCTTCCTGAAGGAGGTAACACCTGAACTGAGTCCTAAACATTAACACCTTGGGGACAGGCATGCAGACCTTGGGTGCAGCTGTGAGCTTGGGCCTGGAGGTGGGACATGCCATGGTGGACGAGGGAGCTCCCAGCAGTTCAAGTGGCAGCTGATAAAGCTACAGATGGTGGGGGGGGGAGGTGTGGGGGGAAGGGGCGGGCTTTATCTTAGGAGCTGAGGGGGCCACACATGGAAGGGTTTTAAGTGACTGATGTGTCCTGCAGATGGCCTGGAAGGGTATGGAGGTAGGTAAGTGCCCCCACCACGCCTGCTTGGAATAAAAAAGTGGCTATAAGGAAGTGGCCAAGGAAGAGGGAGGTTTAGGAGCAAGAGGGTTAGGATGTGCTCGTGCAGGAATGAGGTGGGTGTGAGACAGGCCTCTAGCTGGGGACGCAGGAAGGGCCGTTCAGAGTCTGCAGGGCCTCCGGCCTGTTCAGGGGCAGCAGATTTATGGAGCTGGATAGAGAGGCCTGGGCTGGCTGGGCGCGGATGGAGGGTCCCAGGAACCTGAAGCTGATAGTCAGAGGGTGGAGTAGGGGCCTGGGGTGAGGGTCCCAAACAGGAGGAATGATGGCCAACGGTCAAACGTTAAGGTGAGAGTGATGGTGATGGTTGCAGGTGGCCTTGGAGAGGGCTGGTGGATGGAGGTCGAAGGCATACAGGCAGCAACTCTGCAAAGGCTGATGGGAAGGGGAGGTTGAGGGAGGCCCCTGGGGGGCTGTGGAAGTAGAGTGGGCTCCCAGGAGCGGTTGGGGTTGATTTACATGCTGGGGGGAAGGGAGGGCAGTGGAGCAAGGTCCTTCTTGGGGGTGAGGGGATGAGCCACATGGAGGGTAGAAGTTGGGTTTTGGTGGGGGGAGCCTGGGGACGCCTTGTCTGAAAGCACAGGGCCGCATCCGTGTGGACGCAGCTTCCTCCCTGCAGACGTCTGTACCTTTGAGCTTTCTCTCCCAAACCCCATCAGAGATGAGGACACGCGCAGCTCCTGCCGCTCCTCCCGCCTCCTGGCACCTTTCCTCCCGCCCTGGGGAGTGTCGTCAAGGTGTCGGCAGACACAGGACTGAGCCCTGTGTTCTGCCAGGAGAGCGGCTCTGCGGTTACTGGAGTCTCAGCTTATGCCCCTGAGTGGCGGGAGGGGGCTGCTGCCTTTCGTGACAGGTAGAAGAATCACACGGAAGAAGACAGACGACTTCCCAGACTCCTGGGCCTTCCCCGCACCCAGCGGCCCCCTTGGAGGGCGAGCTGGGGCCTGGCAGGGTGCGGAGAGCTCGCTCACCTGCCCCCACTGTGCCTTGTCTTGCAGAGCACTGACTCCACACCCCGGACCTTGGCAGGATGGAAGGTACGGAGGTTCCTCTCTTCTGCTCACTGCCTGGGCCTCAGTGTGCCTGCCTGTGAAGGGGGTGTGCTTTGGGGGGACACTCTGAGAGGGGTTCCAAGAGGCTCTGGGGCTGCCAGACAGGGTGTGCCTGGGAGCTCCCAGCACCCTCCTTGGGCCTCTCCTGGGACGGCCCAGGTACAAGATTAATTTTAGAAGCCACAAGGCCTCCCCGAGGCTCCTGGGGGCCCCACGGCTCACCTCCACCGCCAGTATTTTTGGAGCGAAATCCCTGCCTCTTTCTGGAGAGGGTGGGCACCGGTGAGGGGAGGCAGCCCTGTGGAGAGGCTCCAGCGTGAGGATGCCCCTCTCAGGGACACAGTTTCCCCATTGTCCGGTGGGAATGGCTCTTGAGGATGTCTTGGGCCCTCCAGGCTCCTCTGGGCCCGACTTAGAAGGAGTCCTGGGCAGAGAGCCCAGCTGGCCTGTCTCCTGGCTGCGCCACCCCTCCCATTTCTGGCTTTGAGCCTCAGCCTGGGCAGTTCTTAAAGGAGCCCAGCAGGCCTGGCTGCTGCTGCCCGAAACCAGTGGTCACCCTTCTGCCCTGTGGTTCTGCGTGTCAGCTGCTACTGGGCTGTTGCCTCCACCCACACCCAGGCTTGTGCCTGTCACGCGGCAGCCAGGTGGCAGGCAGCCATGGGACGAGTCGTCCTCCTGCCTGCTCCTCTAGTCCCCATCCCCTTGGCTGGGGGGGGGCCCTGGGAACTTCGGAGCTCACCTCCACTTTGGGACAGGAACAGAGAACCAGAAAGGGGCGGGGACTTCTTTCCTGAGGCCTCAAAACTTTCCTGCTTCCCCAGAGGAGGAAAGGCCAGCAGCCTGAGAGAGGCCGGGGTTGCCGTTCGAGTTCTGGCAGCCCTAGAGCCGGCCCCTGCCTGCCTCACTAGGCCTCGGTCTCCCTCTTTTGGTGGGGCTGTGGTCTCACTAAGTTCTCAGGGTGGTTGAAGCAGAGGCTGGAATGTAAGCTGGCCTCTCTCTTTGGGCAAGGGTTCCATGTGCCCACCGCAGCCCTCTTCCCTGGCGACTGTCTCCGGGGCAACGCATGTTGTGGTTGCCAACTCCACATCTGGACGGCCCAGGGAAGGCGGGCAATGGGCGGGCCCAGGGCCTGGGAGGGGAAGGGTAGGGGACACAGCAAAACGAGACCATGGGTGCCTGCTGCTCATCAACAAACCCCCGCAGCGAGGAAGACTCTAGGGCCAGAGGTGACCCGCTGTCCAGCCACCCACAGGGATTGGGGTGACATGAGCCCCTCAGAGTCACCCTTGTGGCCTGTGTCTGTAGCCTCCGGGCCTTTGTCTCGGTTGGTCCTGCTCTCCCCTCACCTGTGGGGCTGTGTCGGACCCTCTGCCTCAGACCCAGCACAGGCCCAGGACTCACAGGTGCCTCTGGCTCCTTGTCAATCGAGTGGCTGAGCTCCGCTCCCCTTTTCTCTCCCACAGAGAAGCTGAAAAAGGCCAAGATCATCTTTGTGGTGGGTGAGTCCAGGCAGGCGGGTGGGGCACTAGCAGGGGACGTCTGCGCAGGCCCTGGTGGAAGCCGGGGCCTAGGGCTTCACCCTGGGCTCGGCTCCTCCTTCGCTGGGGGCCCCGGGCAGACCCTGTCCCTCTGGGGGACCCTGTTTCTCAGGGATTCTGAATGGGTGGGCCCTTGCAGGAGGGCCTGGCTCAGGGAAGGGCACCCAGTGTGAGAAGATTGTCCAGAAGTACGGCTACACCCACCTCTCCACCGGGGACCTCCTGCGGGCTGAGGTCAGCTCGGGCTCGGCCAGGGGCAAGATGTTGTCGGAAATCATGGAGAAGGGACAGCTGGTGCCACTGGTGAGTGGGCCCCAGTGGGGTGGGGGCGGGGTGATGGTGGTCCTGAGTGTACAACAGCCAACAAAGCCCACGACACGCTGGCAGGGCTGACCATGACCTTCCCTGGCTCTGAACCCTTTTGGGGGCCCCCATTGCCCTTGGCACAAAATTCCTTCCTGAATCATCCAAGAGCCTCCAAGACCCTGCCCTACAGACCCCTTTATCCTCCTACCACCCTGGCCTTTCTGTCCCTTCAAACTCATCACACTGCTTCCTGCCTGGAGTGTTTTCTCCTCCTCAGTTTTCAGACCTTCCCGAATCTTCTTAGGTTTGGGCTAAGACCCTTAACTGTATACTCCTATAGCCCCCCCTTCTTTGTCCACACGGCCTGTGTCATGCTCGGGAACTGATAAATCAACATACTGCAGGTTCCTGATGGCAGGGAAGGTCTGCTTTGCTCACAGCTGTGTCCTCTGGGCCCCGACAGGAGCTGGCTGGGGGGAGGGGCTATGTCTATAACTTTGAGTGAATGAATGAATGAATGAATGAATGAATGAATGAATGAATTGAGCCATCAGTCGAGTCTTCATGGCTCAGGGAAGGCCGGGAGGGAGTCTTGTGTGGGATGCCTGTGTTAGGGCTGAGGGCGGTGCACTCTGGGCCCGAAGAGGGAGGGGCAGAGGGCCTCACACCCCTTCTTCTTTTGCTGTGCCCCAGGAAACGGTGTTGGACATGCTCCGAGATGCCATGTTGGCCAAAGTAGAAACTTCCACCGGCTTCCTGATTGACGGCTACCCTCGGGAGGTGCAGCAGGGGGTAGAGTTTGAGCAGAGGGTAAGGCACAACCTGGTGGGTGGCTTTCAGGAGCTGACTGGGGGTGGCCAGGCAGAGGCTGCTGTGATGGACAGAGAGAGAGAGAGACACACACACACACACACACAATTTGTGGGGGATAGGGGTTGGGTAAGCAGGGAAGCCAGGGAAGACATTCTGGATCTTTCTAGAAATCCAGAAAAAAAGTCTTGAAGAATGGGAAGCACCAGGCAGGGGAGTTCACAAGCCTGGCCAGCCTCAGGTCCCAGCTCCACTGCTCTAGGCCTTGGGCTGTCATTCTGCCTCCCTGAACCTCAAAGTTCCCATCTGCCAAATGGAGACACACAGGGCACAGCTGCCTTGTGCGACAGCACGGGGGTCAGAGGGAACGCACTCTGCAGAAGTGGGGCTTGGTGCCTGTGAACGCACGGCCAGAGGGTGGGGAATGATATGGAGCAGGTGGGAAGGGTCAGGCCCCTGGGGGCCTGCAGAGGGAACAGAGGCTGTTGGGACAAAGCGACTGGGGATGATGTGGGAGAGGCAGGTTCAGGCCTGGCTGGAGGCTTTGGATGCCGGGGGGCAGAGTCCAGTCCTCTGCCGGGGCCCACGGACCTTGAGCATGATGTCTCTGAGCTGCCCAGGGCAGGTGCCCACCAGGGTGAGGGTGTCTCACACACACACACACACACACACACACAGGTACAGGCATGTATGTACACTCACGCACCTCAGGCAGTGTGCATCTACACACTCAGCACACCTAAACACTGGGCTGCCACGCATGCACACACGGGGCACACCCCCACACTCACACCCACACCCACACCCACACCGATGGTGTCACGTGCCGCATGGAGAAATGGATGAAGGTGTAAGTGCCAAGGAGGGAGAGTCCAGTAAGTGTGTGGGGTGTTCAGGGAGGGCTTCCTGGCAGAGGGACTCTTTCCAGGCCTTGCAGGGAGATCTGGGCATCCCAGTGGCCCAGGGGCTGGACACCCATTCCTACCCCCCTGTCTCTGTAAGCCCGGGGCAGTCTTTAGACTTTCATAGCTTTGCGCCTCATCCAGAGGTAGGGTACTGTATTTCTTGCCCTGTAAGTGGTGCCAGACCTCAAGAAACTTATCCTGATCCTGGCTTCAGTTTCCCCATGTAAGAAATGGGGGTCGCCTAGGTTTCCTTCAGACTAGGAGGCCTGGACCTAGGCACTAGCTGTGTGGCATCCCTTCTGACCCTCAGGGCCCTGTCTGGAAAATGGGGTTAATGGAAATTCTCTCCTGGGGCTGGTGTGGACACCTGGCTCCGCCCAGGGCCTAGCCCTGCTGTGGCTCTCAGAGGTCCAACGCCTGATCTTTTTGACTCTGAACACCAGGGGGCGCGAGGTGCTCGCCAAAAGAAGACACATCAACCTAATTCCTTCTCTCCCTTTTAAGTCTTCCTGGTGATGAGACACTCGTTCCAATGACAGTGACATTTTCGGAACCTCCCAGAGCTCAAGTGCCTCTCACCCCTTCCCTCAGCGAGGTTCCTTTGTCAAGTCCTTATCCAGCCCTGCTGGTGGGAAGCAAATGTCCCTTGCCCTCATGGGCTCCAGGCCAGGCTGGGGAGAGGGATGTTAAGTAAACAACCAGAGGCCCTTCTGAGAGGCGCTGAAGGCAGAAGTACAGGGGACTGGAAGAGCATGTCCCAGGGGCCTGGGGATGGTGATGGGGGTGGCACCTGGGAAGACTGCCCGGAGGAATGAGGTTTTAGCTCAAGTGTGAGCTAAAACTTGGTATTGAGGGAAAGGGGTGCTGGGAAGTCCCTGGCACGAGCAGAAGCCCTGCATACGAGGAAGCTGATGAGAGCCAGCCTCGACCAGAGTCAGCGCAGGCCCTCCTAGGTCAGGAAAGGAGTTAGGACTTTCTCCCGAGGGCAGCAGGGAGCCACGGAAGGGGTTTGAGCAGGAGAGCGGCAGGGCGCATTGGCTTGAGGAGGGTCTGTCAGGCTGCCTCCGTGGCCCCAGCAGTGGGAAGGTGGGAAGGAGGTGGCCCCATGGAGGGCAGGAAGGGGGCCTCTGTGACTGGTGCCCCGCCCACAGATTGGACAGCCCACACTGCTGCTGTATGTGGACGCAGGCCCTGAGACCATGACCCAGCGGCTGCTGAAGCGTGGACAGACCAGTGGGCGTGTGGACGACAACGAGGAGACCATCAAGAAACGGCTGGATACTTACTACAAAGCCACAGAACCTGTCATCGCCTTTTATGAGAAACGTGGCATCGTACGCAAGGTGCGCCCCCTGCAGGCCTGAGGGAATACTAGGAAACCTGGGGTTTTGCCTGTTCTGGCCTCAAGTTGGGGTAACCTTGGGCCAGCGGTCCTCCCTGGGCCTTGGCTTCCCCACTGGTTTGATGAGGGGCTGCTGTCCACTGTGGCTGGGCGCTGGAGGCAGGCCTGGCCTCTGCGGGAGGGGCTGGCCTCCGTGGGGTCCGCCCAGCCTGCCCCAGTATGTCTCAGCTCACCACCAGTCTCCCTGCAGGTCAATGCCGAAGGCTCTGTGGACAGTGTCTTCTCCCAGGTCTGCACCCACCTGGACACCCTCAAGTAGCAACGCTGGAGCCCCATCCCCAGCTCCAAGCCCAGCCCTACCCCTGTCCCGACTCGGGAGTCCTGGCCCGTGCTCAGCAGCTCCACCCTGCCCCGCTGGAGCGCAGACAGAGGAAGCCACTTTATCCTGTTTTCACGGACAGCTGAGCACTAAAGGAATTTCCGAGGACGTTCAGTTTTACTCCTTTTTCTTTGCTCTCATCGGGGTTGATGTATGTGGGATGGCCGCCCGGCCCTGAGTCCCCAGCCCCTCCCCCTCCCCCTCCCCATTTCTCTCTGGGCCCTTCAGCCCACCACAGCCAGCTGCCCCTCCCCTAGCTCTGGTGGCAGACCTAGGGGCCCTTCCTTACCCAGGGCATTCCGGGTTGGGGCTGTGCCAGGTCTGGGGACCCAGGGGGCCTGGGGCAGTGTCCTTGCTCTCTGGGACTTGTGGCCAGGCAGAGCTGGGCCTGGGCCCTGGTTCCTCTGCATCCTTGCTGTGTGGCCTTGGCCCTGGTCCCTCATCTCTCTGAGCCTGTTTTCTGTGCCTAACCCCTGCTGGGGACTGAGCTCTGGCACGCAGTGAGGTCATGGGCTGTGGGGGACTTCCTGGGCAGCTGGTGGGAGGGGAGGGGCTCCTGGTAGCGGTGTGGCACACATCAGCCGGCCAAGTGGGTAGTGAATTGGCTTCCTTGGTGCCAGAAGCTCCATGGATCTGAAAAGGGCATCAAGGTCGAATGGGGGGAGGGGTCAGGTTTGGGAGTACCTTCCTGAGGAGATGGGACCTGAAGGGCTTCCTTAACGTTGCCCTGGACAGCTCACAACCTGTCCTTTCTAAGCCTGTTTCACAATTTAAATTAGGCTCAGCCCCGGCTGCCACCCCCAGTTAGGAAGAGATGTACTAAGCAAAGGGTGTAGACTACTAGCTACTGAGGCCCATGGGGGCCAGAGACCAGAGCAGCCTTGGGGATACGCCAGGCCCGGGTGCTTTGGGGAGGAGGCCCCGGAATCCCCTGGGGAGACCCATCTTCCCTTTTCTGCCTCTTGCACTCTCTGACCTCATCCTGGAGGAAGGCTCCATTTGGTGCTCATGCATTCTCAACACCTGTCCCAGCCCCAGCAGGCTCCCTTGGAAGCCAAGAGGGCCCTCAGGGGCCCGCACTTGGCTGGAACGACATCCTGACATCCCGTCATCTCGTGCGGGCTGATCGTGCCCACTGTGTGTCTCTTCTATCGATGGCACGTGCCACTGGTTTTCCATTTACACTAGCTATTTAAACTTTCCTTTAAAATAAAGGTATTTAAGTTCTAAAAAGCGAGTCTATTGAGCGAACACAAATACATGATAAATGCAGGGGAGAGAGGAGAAGACAGTCATCAAGCGGGCGAGCCGTCTGGTCTGGGTGGGTGTGGACGAAGGCCTCTGCAGCTGGCCCCTCTGTTACCCACGCCAACCGGGGTGTGTGGACACGTACGTGCCCTTTATCACGGGGTTGTCTGAGGATCCGAGTGTCGGTGAGTGGGAAAACACACCAAGGACGATAAGGGGCTAAGGAAACCTACTGGACAAAATCATCATCATTTTTTTAGTTATATTTTATTGATTATGCATATTACAGCCGTCCTGATTTCCCCCCATTTCTCCCCCTCCACCCAGCACCCCACACTGTGTCAGGCCATCCCCCCACCATTGTTCATGTCCATGGGTCATGGTATAAGTTCTTTGGCTACTCCATTTCCAATACTGTAATTTACCTCCCCAGGGCTATTCTGTAACTACCTATTCACACTTAAAAAAAAAAGATTTTATTTATTTTTTAGAGAGGGGACAGGGAGAAAGAGAAACATCAATGTGTGGTTGCTTCTCATGTGCCCCCTACTGGGGACCCGGCCCACAACTCAGGCATGTGCTTTGACTGGGGATCGAACCCACAACCCTTTGGTTCGCAGGTCGACAATCAACTAAATGAGCCACACCAGCCAAGGCACTATCTGTACTACTTAATTCTGTCACCTCTTCACCCATTCCCCCCATCTTCTTCCCATCTGGCAACCATCACTCTGTATCCATGATTCTGTCTCTGTTCTTCTTGTTTGCTTAGTTTGTTTTTTAGATTCAATTGTTGATGTATTTTTGCCTTCTTTTTTAAATTTTATTTTTTATTAATTATTTATTCTTTAAAGATTTTATTTATTTATTTTTAGAGAGAGGGAAAGGAAAGGAGACAGAGAGGGAGAGAAACATCAATGTGTGGCCGCCCCTCATGTGGTCGCCACTGGGGACCTGGCCGGCAACCCAGGCATGTGCCCTGACTAGGAATCGAATCGGTGACCCTTTGGTTCACAGCTGGCACTCAATCCACTGAGCCACACCAGCCAGGGCATATTTTTGCCTTCTTATTATTCACTGTTTTTATCTTCTTTTTCATAAATAAGTCCCTTTAACATTTCATATAATAATGTTTTGGTGATGATGAACTTCTTTAGTTTGTTTTTGTCTGAGAAGCTCTCTACCTGCCCTCTGAGTCTAAATCATATCTTTGGTGGGTTGAGCAATCTTGGCTTTTTATGACTTTGACTATTTCTTGGGAGTCACTTCTACCCTGAAAAGTTTCTTTTGAGAGATCAGCAGACAGTTTCATTGGAAGTCCCCTGTCGATAACTATCTGCTTTTCTCTTGCTGGTTTTAAGATTCCCTCTTTATCTTTAACCTTTGGCATTTTAATTATCATGTGTCGGGAAGTGGGCCTCTTTGCAGCCATCTTGTTTGGAACTCTCTATGCTTCCTGGACTTGCATGTCTATTTCCTTCAGCAAATTAGAAAAGTTTTCTTTCATTATTTTTTCAAATAGATTGCCACTTTCCTGCTCTTTCTCTTCTCCTCCTGGCACCCCTATGATGCAAATGTTGGATCTCTTGAAGTTGTCCCAGAGGCTACTTATATTATCCTCACTTTTTTGGATTCTTTTTTCTTCTTCTTGTTCTGATTGGTTGCTTTTTGCTTCTCTTTTACATTCCAAATCATTGATTTGATTCTCGGCTTCATCCACTTTCCTCTTTTTTCCCTGTAAATTGTTCTTTATTCCAACTAGTGTATCCTTCGTTTCTGACTAGATCTTTTTGATGCTGTCAAGGTCCTCACTAAGTTCCTTGAGCATCCTTATAACCAGTGTTTTGAACTCTGCATCTGGTAGATTGCTTATCTCCATTTCTGCAGTCCAAGATGGCTGCTACTTGTGCTGGGCTTAGAGATTTCCAGGTGAAGCCAAGCTGTAAATCTAGGCTGCTAATTCTGGGCCTGGGGCTCACTGAGGCCAGCTGCTTCTAGTTTGAGAGGATTTAGGAAGTTGTGAAGCCTGAGCCAAGACCAGCCATTCATATGGAAAAGAAGTTTGGGTGGGTCCGTCAATTAGGTGGGGCGGAGTCTGTGGGAATCTCAGGGTGGGTCAAACAGTGTTAGCTTGGTTAATGAATACAGCACCAGTTTGCTGGCTCTGTAGGGGGAGGGTTTAGAAAAGGGACGATGACCTCTGCTCACCTTGATGCCAGATACTTGTTTCTCCCTGTACATCACTGGTACCTTTTGAGCTGCTGCCTGGGTGCTGGATCTCAGAGGGAGTGAGTCTGAGTAAGTACGTATGTGGGTTCTTCAAGAGGAACTGCTTGGAGCTCCAGCAGTTTCTTCCACCAACTCAATCCCCACTGATTTTTGCAGCCAGAAGTTGTGGGGACTTCCTGGCACTGGAACCCTGGGCTGGGGGGCCTGGTGTGGGGCTGGGACTCCTCGCTCCTGAGATCTCTCCCAAATTTTTATCCACCAAACGTGGGTGAGGGACCAGCTGTTTCACATCTGTGCCTCTCCTACTAGTCTGGATGGATGTGGTTTCTTTAATTCCATAGTTGTCAGACTTCCATTCAACTTGGTTACTGACAGTTCTGAGTGATGGTTGTTCCATATTTTAGCTGTAATTTTGATGTGGTTGTGCAAAGAGGTGAGCCATGTCTGCCAATGCCACCTTCTTGACTGGAAGTCTCATTATTTTTATTTTCTTATTACAGCTTCATGAATTCAGGTGTCTCCCAATTTACGAAAACCTAAGCCAATGCAATCTGTTCACTACAGAATCACTTTGTTCACTTTTTTAAAAAAAGCTTGAGAAGTTTCTTAAAAGCACATTTTAAAAGCTCTGGTAACCACTACTCCATCCTTGCCCCTACAAACCTTCTTGTGGGAGTTTCCTTTGCGCAGGTTTGTTTCTTCAGCAACGCTCCAGGGTACCCGCCGCCCTGGCGGGACAGAGGCTCCTAAGCCCTGGACCACTCTGACGTCTCCCCTGGGATGAGGAGGGGACCCACATTCACAAAATTCCATCAGACCTACTCAACCGAGACCAATCTGGGCAGCTCAGTGCACGGAGCTCAGAGGGGACCCTGGCGGCAGAAGGTCCCTTGACCTGGAGCTCCCGAGTGGAACCCCGGAGATAAATAGGAGCTCACAGCACCAGGAGACAGGGAGCTGGGAAAGGCAGAGGGAAGAGCCCTGCAGAGGTGGAGAGGCCCGATCGAGTGGGGGCTGGAATGCAGGCTGGAGGGGGCGCCCTCGCTAGAGACAAGTGATGGGAGCCAGGTTTGCAGGGCCTTGAATGCCAACCCAGGCATCTAGTCTTTCCCCAAAGGGCAATGGGAGGCTTAGAGAGTTTTGTTTATAATCTTCAAACAAACAAAACTGGAGGAAATAATGTAACGAACACCCATATACCCATCACTAACGTTTAGTAATCATGGACATTTTCCACACTCCCTCCACTGTGGTTTTACCGTTGCCAAACCATTTAAAGTAAATTACAGATGTGAAAAAAGTTCGTCCCTTAAGTGTGACTTCAGTGTGACTCTAATAAATGAAGGCATTTTGCTATATAACCACAACTCAGAGTTCTGATGACACTGACTTAACACTAATGTCATAATAGATAATAATCAGCTCCCATGGAATTTCCCCCAAACGTGTCTTTGTTCAAACTGGAAGGCAATGCAGGACCACCTGTTGCATTGTGGGCGCCCGTCAAACTTGAACCTCCAATGACTCTCCCTCTCTTTTTGTGGCACTGAGCTGTGGAGGGACTTGTCATCCTGCAGAAAATTCCTCCAGATTTGTCCGTGGCTTCCTCGTGATGCTGTTTAATTTGTTCCTCCGTT